AGCTGTGATTGGTCCATAATGGTGGGCCAATCATAGTGCTCTATCTGCTAAGTGAACAAATCACAGAGCTTTATCCGCTTTGTGGGCCAATCAGGGCACTCTATATGCCTGGTGGGTGGGATGATGCAACAGAGTGAAACAAGAGTATGTCACATTCTTTGTCCAGTGGAATGTGGAGATCATTTGAAAGACAACGGTAGAACCCGCCCCACAACCAAGAGCCGTCAATGGAGCGTGGCCAGACTAAATAATACATTTATTTAGTCTGGCTTGCCAGGCTACAAACAACTGGCACCGCAACAAGACATGATCCACGGTCTCCAGCTCCCCACAATCACAGCAGCCGTCTGGATGTTTCCCCACTAAAAACAAACCTGCCTTCAAGCAACCGTGGCCCAGCCTCAACCTAGTTAAAACCACTGTGTCTCACAGCCTGCACACATGGGTCAACCCTCCACCTCCCGCCCGATTCTGCAGCCTATAATACGATCGCCCTGCAACCTCAGCATCCCAGGAGGCCTGCCACATCTCCAAGGAGACTCGGCCGATCACTGAGTAAATTTCCGGTAACCCAGCCTCCCCCTCCAAGTCCACTTCAGTCCTGCCCAGTGCTTCCTTGGCCTCCGTGTCTGCCCGCTCATTACCCTCCACCCCCACATGTGCTAGAACCCAAACAAATCCAACCTCACAACTCAGTTCATGCAACTCGTGGAGCAGCAACTTTACCTCCAACAGGAGGTCAGACTGGGACTTAGAATGCCCACCAGACAGCGCCTGCAGCGCCGCCGCAGAGTCCAAACAAATGACAGAGTAGGAAGGAGCATAGCCACGTATCCACCACAGGGTACCCAGATTCACCACTATCTCAAACGCAAACACAGAGAGCCCATCCCGAATACGGTATCCAACACTAAACCCCCTGCTAGGAAATGCCACCCCCAACGCTGCCCTACTGCTAGTCTGATGTCTGGACCCATCGGTAAATAGCCGCAAAGGCATCTTCCAAACCGACTCACAAAAAATCCTCAAAAACCTCAGTCCGCACACCACCCCTACCCCGGACTAAAAGGGAAAGGTCAACTTCAGAATCCGGCAACAGCCAGGGCAGCACCTCAGGCTAAACCGAAGGCAAACATATTGGCCACCCAAGGAAGCCCAACTCAGACGCCCTCTCCTGCAAAACATCAGGAAAACCACCCCAACCTCGCTGCCCCAACTCTCCAAACTCCCAATGAGCGCCAAACAGAGCCAACGCAGGGGTCTTGGTACCCATACTCTTACCCTCAATAGATATCGAAAGCCCAACTTGACCCTCCAGAGCCCCAGTGTCATCTCACCCATCTCTACAAGAAGGGCAGACACTGGCGTAGTCCTAAAAGGTCCACAGCACACCCTCAATACCGCAGCCCGCACCACATCCCACCGCTTCGAGGTAGTTAGAGCGGGCGACCCATACAAAAAACTACCATAGTCCAATGCCGGCCTGATCAGACCCCAATAAACCCTCAACAAGGTACTCGTGTCCACCCCCCAATCCGTTCCAGCCAGACAACGCATAATGTTCAAGACTTGATTGCATTTATTCACCAAATACTGAACGTGTTCCTACCACGTCAACATGTCGTCCAATCTCAGTCCCAAGTACTTATAGGAACGAACCCGCTGCAAAGCCAGTCCTCCCCAACAATAAGCCCCCCCCCCCCCCCCCCCCCCCCCCCGGACCCGCCTCTTAAACCCAAAAACCATATACTTCGTCTTAGAGGTGGACAACTTAAAACCCCACCGCCGTGCCCAAACTACCACTCCATCCAAGCTGGCCTAAATCCTGCTGAAAACAGCCGACAGATTTCTGCCCCGCTTCCAGACGGCACTGTCATCCGCGAATAGGGACCACTCCACATCACTTCCCAGGGAACCAAACAGGCCATTAACTAGCCCATTAAAAAGGACAGGGCTAACCACACTGCCCTGGGGCACCCCATTCTCCACTCCCACAGGCGACGACAGGATCGTCCTATCACTCAGAAAACCCCTGACTCATCGCAACAGCTGTCCCCGAACCCCAGCTCTATACAAAAAAAGGAACAGCCCGCCCCTCCACAACATGTCGTAGGCCTTTTCAATGTCCAAGAACACCGCCACCACTGCCCCCTTATCAGCTTTTGCCCGCTGCACATCCAAATCCAGGGGCACTATGGCATCTATCGTAGACCGACCAATCCTAAATCCGCTTTGATACAAGGCAAGGAAGCCACCATGTTCCAGGCAGTGGACCAGCCGAGAAGTGATCATGCGTTCCATCACATTACAGACCACAGATGTCAGAGCTATGGGCTGATAAGAATCCGGAGGAGAGGGGGATTTTCCCAACTTCAGGAACGGGACAACCACAGAATGCCTCCACTCCGCTGGCAATATGCCAGACCTCCACACCACATAATTTAGAGACCAAAGTTCCTCCAAAAAGAGGCTTCCCACATGCTGCAAAAGTGGACATCCCACAGCATCCCTTCCCGTACTTGTATCCCGCCCAGCCTGAAGGGCCCGTTTCAACTCCTCAACAGTAAAAAAGAGGTTCTCAGCTCCCAGATCTCCTTTATCACCCCAAATATTTCCTTCAAAACCCTCCACCAAACTATCTCGGCGAGCACGGTCCTCGGTTGAGTTAGTTTGAAGTTGGACGTTGGATATTCGACAGACATTGGTTCCTATGGTCAGCGATAAGTCTTCATGCCATGCACTCTGGCACAGACAGCGGTTAGCTGAGTTCAGAGGACTTGCTAATGGGAACGGTGGTTTGCTTAGGGACTATCAATAAATTTGTAGTCTTTTGTAAACGAGTACAAAAAAAATTGAATGCTTCCAGAATAATTGGCTAAATGACTCAAAATTACTTCTGAGTTGTGTTACTAAACTACATTTACAAGTCAGAACAATTTTAACACATTTCACACAATCTGATCTTTTTTATCATGATTTTTATCCAAAATGAAGGGATTTTTTTCAATAGCTCCTAGATAAATCAGTCTGAATACCCAAAACCATTTCTCAATGATATTATTAAGCTAGACCAATGAGACACAGCAGTTTTCATAACATTTCACAAGATTCAATCTTTTTTATTAGGATTTTTATTAAAAAAAATCATTGATTTCTTTCAATAACTAATTGATTTTAATACCCAAAACCATTTCTCAATTATGTTACTAAGCTAGACCAATGAGACAAATCAGTTGTTTTACATTTCAAAAGGTACAATCTTGTTTTATTTGTGGGAGGAAGCTTGACTGAGGTCAAAGATTTTAACTGCAATGGCCTGAATCTGCATTGCTAAGCATTGAGAAATGGTTTGGAGTATTTAGAGCAATCAACTTAAGAGCTATTGAAATAAATCACTTAATTTTTTATAAAAATCCTAAAAATGATGAGATCTTGTGAAATATGAAAACAACAACTGTGTCTCATTGGTCTACATTAGTAACATTATTTAGAAATGGTTTTGGGTATTAAAATAAATTAACCTAGAAGCTATTGAAATAAATCACTGAAGTTTTAAGGATCATCCTAATAAAAAAGATCAAATCTTGTGAAACGTCATAAAAACTGCTGTGTCTCATTGGTCTAGCTTTGTAAAATCATTGATAACTATTGAAAACAACCCTTTCAATTTCGATAGAAATCGCTGATTTTTTGATAAAAATCCTAATAAAAACATCAGATCTTGTAAAGTGTGAAACACTGCTGTGTCTCATTCATCTAGCTTAGTAACACAATTGAGACATGGTTTTAGGTATTAAAATCAATAACCTAAGAGCTATAGAAAAAAATCCCTTAATTTCCCCCAAAAAATTAACATAGGACCTATTTAAAGAAATCTGTTAAATTTTGATAAAAATCATAATAAAAAATATTGTATCTTGTGAAATGTTATAAAAGTTAATGTCTCATTGGTCTACATTAGTGACATCATTGAGAAATGGTTTGGAGTATTAAAATCAGCTGACCCAGGAGCTATTGAAAGTAATCACTTAATTTTTTTTAAATAAAAATCCTAATAAAAAAGATGTGCCCTGTGCCCCATATTTTATATTTTATGTGAGTTTCTCTCGATGGTTTCTCTCTGAGTACTGAGAGACTTTTATACTGAAAATTTGGCGGAAGTTGCAGATTTGTTTCCGCTTTTGGCTCCGCTGCAGTCGTTCACGTCCACCAGGAGACAAACCACAACAACACACGCACGAGACTTGACATCCAGGGAGCTGCTCGTGCCGCCTCGTTAACGGTAGGTGGAGGTGGGCTTTAAGCGGGTGGAGGTGTTCTGAGCTGGTGGAGCACGTTCCAGACGCTGGGGTGCTGTTTGGGTTCTGGTGGAAGCACAAAGGTGCGTTCAGCGCGCGGCGCTAGAATCGCTATAACCGATTATTCTTTGTTCCCCGTGGACAACCAGCACGCGTTTACCTTCATGTACCTGTGGGTGGTGGGTGCTGTGGTTGGTTATCTGACCCGGGAGTAGAGCACCTGCTCCGTGACTCACATGTGTCAAGAGGATGGTGACGTTGTTGTTGTCAGTGTTGATGACTCCACGGCACGCACCCGCACATAAACAACGCCCTGGTCCAGAACCAGACCCTAACGGGGCTCACGCTGTAGATGTGGACGGTTCATTATAAACACACAGGTGAATATAGAGCAGGTACACGGTCCGGTTTGAGTTCATCAATCAAAGGGAAACAGCAGGAAGCGGTGAGACTGATGCGTGAGGAGGATGCAGCAGCGCTTAGGACTCCGTGTAAGTGTGAACGTCACATTTGTTTCTTTGTTTTCACAGCTCAGCAGATGGATGATGGTGAGAGATGAAGGGAGGAGGGGTAGCGTGTGTGTGGTGTGCGTGTGTGTGTGTGTGTGTGTGTGTGGGGGGGGGGGGGGGGTGTATAAATAACAGCCTCAGAAGGAGAAGGGGCGGGGGCAGACGTGAAAAGATGAAGGTGGGATCTTCTACGAGGACAGCAAATGAGATCCACCTTCATTTGGAACTAGCCACTGAAAAATGTAATAGACAAAATTTAATAACTGCAGTTTGTGTAAACAAGTAAAAAATATGAAAAATGCTGTAGGGACCTGCTCTGGTGCTTAAAGAGTAAGTTACCCCCTAATCAACCGTATAAAGGAGTGTGAAAAGTGCTGCAGACGTGTGAAGTTGTTGTTTTTAGTATTTTAGTGCATCTTATGGAGAGGATCCAGTCAGATAATCTGACTGGAAATCAGAGAAAAAACACTTGGAGAAAAAAAAAACAACTGTAAAGTTAACAGCTGAAATAGCAGGAAATAATGCAATTAAGAGGGAAATTGTAGTGTGTGTGGAAAGTGGTCAGTGTGTCCTTCAGTAGCCTAAGCCTATTGACCCTTTGCACGTGACATCACGCCAGTCATGTGGCCGCCCCCTCTGCCATGATGGACGGCAAAAAGACCGTTTACACTCGTAGAAACTCCAGTGAAGCTAGTTAAAACAAGCCAGTTTGTAGCCTTTTATGGCTTTTATTTAGTTGATTTAACAGTAAAATGGTTTTAGCTTGCTGCGTGGTCGGCTGCACTAACAGACAAGGACGTAAACTCAACTCGTTTTTTTCTTTTTAATAACTTTGATGGAGACTGAGGACGGAGATGAACTGCAGCGATCAATCAAGCGGACTAGCAGGCCTCAGATTTGCAGCGAACATGTTTTTACCGGGTAAGATTAACGTTCATTTATTTCACGAGGAAGACAGGGACAGGGATAAATGTGATGTGTTTATACTAGTTATTGATAATCCTGATGGATGGGTATGTCACCCTGGAGGATGCCCGCCGTCCACTGTAGTGTAAAGTGAGACAATTATTAACAATATTTAAGCTCAGATGTATGATTACGTGTGTTAAAATGACGTTATTTATTTGTATAGCGTCGGTGTTCAGAGATCTTCTCATTCCGGTGTGAGAGCACCAGCTGAACCCGGTAACACCACCAGCAACAGAAGCTGGTAGGGATCTGGACTTTTTAACAATCAGCTTTGGTGTAAAGTGAAACGCTGTTTACAACATAAAGTTATAAATCCAAAGGGGTGAATTTAGGCAAAGTCAGCAACATGTTTACATTGGTGAACAGCTGCAGAGAGAACGTAAGCTAACTTTGGTAAGCTAGTTAGCATACCGCTCTCTATGAACCCCCGCTAGATGCGGTTCTTATTCTGATAACTGAATTGGGCATGAACTAGTTGAAGGAATGCTGGAGGAGTTTTGTTTTGATTGCAAAATCAATGTCAGGCTCTGTTAAATATAAATATATATATATATATATGTATATGTATATATATATATATATACGTATTATTGGAGTCCATGGAAACCCATTGTCCATATATATATATATATATATATATATATATATATATATATATCATTGTCGTCGTCGTCTTCCTCCGCTTATCCGGGTCGCAGGGGCAGCATCCCAACTAGGGAGCTCCAGACCGTCCTCTTCCCGGCCTTCTCCACCAGCTCCTCTGGCAGGACCCCAAGGCGTTCCCGGACCAGATTGGAGATGTAACCTCTCCAACGTGTCCTGGGTCGACCCGGGGGCCTCCTGCCGGCAGGACGTGCCCGAAACACCTCCCCGGGGAGGCGTCCTGGAGGCATCCTGACCAGTTGCCCAAACCACCTCAACTGGCTCCTGTCGATCTGGAGGAGCAGCGGTTCTACTCCGAGTCCCTCCCGAATGTCCGAGCTCCTCAACCTATCTCTAAGGCTGAGCCCGGCCACCCTACGGAAGAAACTAATTTCGGCCGCTTGTATCCTCGATCTCGTTCTTTCGGTCATTACCCAAAGCTCATGACCATAGGTGAGGATTGGGATGTAGATAAACCAGTAAATCGAGAGCCTGGCTTTCTGGCTCAGCTCCCTCTTCACCACGACAGATCTGCTCAGCGTCCGCATCACTGTTGAAGCTGAACCAATCCGCCTGTCGATCTCCCGATCACTCCTACCCTCACTCGTGAACAAGACCCCGAGATACATAAACTCCTCCACTTGAGGTAGGACCTCTCCCCTGACACGGAGTTGGCAAGCCACCCTTTTCCGGTCGAGAACCATGGTCTCAGATTTAGAGGTGCTGATCCTCATCCCAGCCGCTTCACACTCGGCCGAGAACCTACCCAGCAAGAGCTGAAGGTCAGAGCTGGATGAAGCTAGGAGGACCACATCATCCGCAAAAAGCAGAGACGAGATTCTCCTGCCACCAAACTCAACACACTCCACACCACGGCTGCTCCTAGAAATTCTGTCCATAAAGGTAATGAACAGAACCGGTGACAAAGGGCAGCCCTGGCGGAGTCCAACCCTCACCAGGAACAGGTCTGACTTACTACCGGCAATGCGGACCAAACTCACGCTCCTCTGGTAAAGGGACTGAAGGGCCCTTAACAGAAAGCCACCCACCCCATACTCCTGGAGCGTCCCCCACAGGGTGCCCCTGGGGACACAGTCATAAGCCTTCTCCAAGTCCACAAAACACATGTGGATTGGTTGGGCAAACTCCCATGCCCCCTCCATCACCCTTGCAAGGGTATAGAGCTGGTCCACAGTTCCACGGCCAGGACGAAAACCACATTGCTCCTCCTCAATCTCAGATTCAACTATCGATCGGACCCTCCTTCCCAGTACCTTGGAGTAGACCTTTCCAGGGAGGCTGAGGAGTGTGATCCCCCTATAGTTAGAACACACCCTCAGGTCACCCTTCTTAAAGATGGGGACCACCACCCCGGTCTACCACTCCACAGGATCTGCCCCTGATGACCACGCAATGTTGCAGAGACGTGTCAACCATGACAGCCCTACAACATCCATAGCCTTGAGATACCCAGGACGAACCTCATCTGCCCCCAGGGCTCCGCCGCTGTGTAGTTGTTTGACTACCTCAGCAACTTCTGCCCCCGAGATTGGACAGTCCATCCCCAGGTCTCCCGGCTCTGGTTCCTCCTCGGAATGCGCATAGGTGGGATTGAGGAACTCCTCAAAGTATTCCTTCCACCGTCCGACTATAGCCTCAGTTGACGTAAACAGTGTGAGCGAGTTGCTGCCTTCCTCTCCTGAGGCGCCGGACAGTTTGCCAGAAACCCCTTTGGAGCAGATCGATAGTCTTTCTCCATGGCCTCACCAAACTCCTCCCACGCCCGAGATGTTGCCTCGGCAACTGCCACTGCTGCACCCTGCTTGGCTATCCGGTACCTGTCTGCTGCCTCCGGAGACCCACAGACCAGCCACGCCCTGTAGGCCTCCTTCTTCAGCCTGACGGCTCCCCGAACCTCTGGTGTCAACCAGCGGGTACGGGGGTTGCCACCACAACTGGCACCGGCCACCTTACGACCACAGCTAGCAACAGCCGCCTCAACAATCGCAGAGTGGAACAAGGCCCACTCGGAGTCAATGTCCCCCACTGTTCTCGGGACGCAGTCAAAGCTCTGCCGGAGGTGGGAGTTGAAGACCGTCTTAATCAGGTTCTTCTGCCAGGTGTTCCCAGCAGACCCTCACTATGCGTTTGGGTCTGCTAGGTCTACACGGCATCTTCCCCTGCCATCTGATCCAACTCACCACCAGGTGGTGATCAGTTGACAGCTCCGCTCCTCTCTTCACTCGGGTGTCCAAAACATACGGCCGCAGGTCAGATGATACGACTACAAAGTCTATCATCGACCTGTGACCTAGGCTGCCCTGGTACCAAGTGTACCGATGGGCATCCTTATGTTCGAACATGGTGTTCGTTATGGCCAAACTGCGGCTTGCACAGAAGTCCAATAACAAAACACCGCTCGAGTTCAGATTAGGTGGGCCGTTCCTCCCAATCACACCCCTCCAGGTCATGCTGTCATTGCCCACGTGAGCATTGAAGTCCCCCAGCAGGACAATGGAGTCCCCTGATGGAGCACTATCTAGCACTCGTCCCAGGGACTCCAAATAGGGTGGGTACTCTGAACTGATATTTGGCCCGTAAGCACAAACAACAGTCAGGACCCGTTCCCCGACCCAAAGGTGCAGGGAAGCTACCCTCTCGTCCCCCGGGGTAAACCCCAACACACAGGCAGAGAGTCTTGGGGCTAACAAAAGCCAACCCCAGCCCTCCGCCTCTCACCCCGAGCAACTCCAGCAAAGGAGAGTATCCAACCCCTCTCAAGGACTTGGGTTCCAGAACCAATGCTATGTGTCGAGGTGAGTCTGACTATATCTGGCCGGTACCGCTCAACCTCTGCCACAAGCTCCTGCTCCTTCCCCGCCAGTGAGGTGACGTTCCATGTCCCAAAAACCAGTTTTCTTGTCCGGGGATCGGACCGCCAAGGCTCCTGCCTTGGTCTGCCACCCGATCCACATTGCACCGGACCCTTCATGTTCCTCCTGCGGGTGGTTGTTCCACAGTTGGATGAGCCCATGTATCCGGTTCGGGCTGGGCCCGGCCGGGCCCCATGGGCGAAAGCCCGGCCACCAGGTGCTCGCTCACGGGCCCCAACCCCAGGCCTGGCTCCAGGGTGGGACCCCGGTAACCATCCGGGCCGGGTACTCCGACTCTTTGAGTTTACCTCCACGAAAGATCCTGTGAACCGTTCATTGTCTCACCCTTCACCAAAGACCAATTTGTCATGGGAGATCCTACCAGGGGCACAAAGTGCCCCAGACAACATAGCTCCGAGGATCATTAGGGCACTCAAAGTCCTCCACCACGATAAGGTGACGGTTCAAGGAGGAGGATATATGTTGGGTTATTGGAGCCTATGGGTTTCCATAGACTCCAATAATATGTACATATATATATATATATATATATATATATATATAATCTGTCCCTCTGCAGCGAAACGCAGCTGAACTATCCTTATCAGCTGAATATGTGAACTTTCCACCAACAGCAAAGGGATCTCATGCACACACACACACACACACACACACACACACACACACACACACACACACACACACACACACACACACACACACACACACACACACACACACACACACACACACACACAAACACACACACACACACCTCTGTTATACATTAGTTCAGAGAAAAGAATCAGCAGATGATAGAAAACAGTATGAATACACTTAAGTTTTGGAAAGACATCAGCAGTTTTATTCATAATTATTGTTTGTTACGACCTAAATGTGTTCTTTTTTATTGTCATTTGTTATTAAAACATCACATTATCTTTGTTTTGTAAAGAATGTGAAACTACATAAAACCAACATCAGACTGGCAAAAAACACAACAGTTCTTATATGTGAAGGCACACCTGTATTAATGTGTAATTGTTGTAGTTGATGTCTTTGCTTTTTATTTACATTTCCTTTGGAAATTCAAACATATTTTCTCCGAAAAGTGTAGATTTTTGGACTACAGGACTACAACCGCTAAGACTACAACCGTAAATTCGTTCTGACCAATCAAAATCTTCATTGTCAACATGCTAACGTAACTTTGATGGGCGTGGTATTGTAACGTTCAGCCAATCATGTATGGTGGCGTAATTTGCAGACGAGGGACCCCGAGCCGATCTGGCTGCATGAGTCGATCTGGTACTGACACCGTCTTAGCTAAATCCCTCGTCGGGAGCATATTTGTGTGAAAGAACGGTGAATGTGAGGGTGATTTACAAATCTGTGGTTGTCCAGTCTGACCGGCTCTGCTTCTGAGCCGTCTCACGACCAAAGACAGCCTCCGACAACCTACAAGCATGCTTGAAAACCTACGACTCCTGTTTGCAACCGACCAATAAAAACACACCTTTGGGACGTTGCAGCAGCAAGACTCCGCCTCTCTGAGCTTTGCTTGCAATTTTTGTTTAAACTGCAGATTATAAACTACACACCAGTTTTTATTTTTGTTAATAGCCCAAGTTAAACCAGAGTTCTACTAAAAATAATTAAACAACCTTTTAGACCATCAGCTGAACTGTGAAAAACGTGATTTTATTATATGAGAACTGAGAGATGTGCTCACGAACATAAAACAGAACAGCACCTCCAGCTGTTTGAAACATAAAAAAACACACAAGTGTGTGTGTGTGTGTGTGTGTGTGTGTGTGTGTGTGTGTGTGTGCGTGTGTGCGTGTGTGCGTGTGTGTGTGTGTGTGTGTGTGTGTGTGTGTGTGATAGAACAGGAGGACTTGTTTCCATGGCAGCCATGAGCTTTGACACGACGTTTTACTCCGGTTGCAAACTTGGATGGATGTTTAGGGAGACGTGTGACTCTGCTCTCTTGCTCGTCTTTAGGTGTTGCCATGGTGATGTAAAGATCAGTCACACTCACAAACACCTCCTTGTTTTCATTCCCCTATCAGTGTTTCTCTCTCTCTATGAATGCTCATTTCCAGAACAATCACAGGAGCTCCGCCCATCTGCTGTTGTCACTTCCTGCTGTTTGCATCATCACAGCTGCAGGAGACCAGATGCTTGTTACAGTTCACAGATGGAAACCTCAGTTTTCATCACAACCAGTTTGTCACAGCAGAGCTTGATGGATCATCTTTTAGGACCTTCTCATGTTGCTGAACTCTGTCAGCGTCTTGCTCAGCAGCACCAAGGAAGCTGTCTGATGTGCTGTTTTCATCCTGCCATCGCTACAACACAACTTCAGCTAGGACAACAAAGGAAGCTTTAGCAAACCTCACCTCTGTCCCGATGCTTTCGCCCCACTGGAAAAACCAACCAGGAGGCAGATCTTCACCTCTGTTGTTCCACAAACTCCTACTTCTGTCATTTGTCTTTAATACGCGTCACTTCCTCTGAATTTACTAAAAACACCCTTCAGGACCACAATGGAGCACACGTAAATAAGTAGTAAATAATGAATCTGAGCCGAACAACGTGTGTGTAGCTTTTTGCTGAAACCTTCCTCCAGTGCTGGTGATTTTCCTGCTCTGATTCTCTCTCTCTGTCTCTCTCAGACTGACTGAAGTTCTGCCATGCCTGTGGCCTCCACCAGGACAGAGCCTGGTGAGACCACACACACACATTTATTCACAGCTCTTCAGTGTGAGCAGGCAACAGTGATAAATGCACAAAACATTGGATGTTCTTCAAAGTGGTCACATCAACATCGTTTTGAGTCAAATGTTGCTCCCCCTGCTGCAGTATCATTAACCGTGTGTGTGTGTGTGTGTGTGTGTGTGTGTGTGTGTGTGTGTGTGTGTGTGTGTCAGGGCCCCAGGTGTTGGATGCGATGAGTGACAGCACCACCAGCTCCACCATTGCCAATGATCTGGACCTCATCTACCTGAAAGGCATCATGGAGAGCCCTCCGGTGTGTTATGCTGACATGCGTGCTGAGATACGAGGCTGACTCGGTGACCATCTGTGACTCACCCCCCCCCCCCCCCCCCCCATGCTGTTGATGACTGTGTGTTAGGAGCAGGAGGAGAGCCTGAAGGAGCCACGACTGTCACCAGTAAGGGAAAACAACGTGGAGCTCCTGCTGGAGATCCTCAGAGACCTGGACCCATTCACACATCGCTCTGACACTGCAGCTGAGCTCACTCGCATCCTCACGCAGCCTCACTTCCAGGTGTGGACTGCATACGCTTATATGGTGCTACAGAACTGTAATAGCACATACAAAAGGATGGAAATGTCGGAGTTTTGTGTTTCAGTCTTTGCTGGAGACTCATGACTCAGTGGCGTCCCAGGTGTGTGACAGCCCACCTCTCAGTCCCTGTGATTTTAATGATGAAGAAGCTGAAGACAGCCAAATGAACAGCCTGCACCCGCCTCCTGATGCTATCCGCATGGTGGGCATACGTATTGTGGCTGGGGAGCATCTGGTAGGAAACCATCAAACACAAAATGTGGCTGAGCTCATTCCACTTTGTGTGGCGCTCCGCCTAACAGGCGGCTGCGGTTGTGCCCCTTGCACAGGGAATAACCTTTAAAGTGGAGGGTGGTGAGCTGGTGATCGCCCGGATCCTTCATGGTGGGATGATAGACCAGCAAGGCCTTCTGCATGTTGGAGACATCATCAAAGAGGTCAGTGTCTGTTCAGCCTGGGCTGCATGGCGGCTCAGAGTAACACTGTTGTCTCACAGCAAGGAGGATGCAGGACCAAACCCTTGCTGTGACCAGGAGTTAGCACCTTCTCATGCATGTGACAACGATGGCAGAGGAGTTAAGACCCTGTCTCATACCCAGAGGGTTACAGGATCAAGTCCTGCTCAGACTGTGGCTGTGATTGTGTCCTTGTGCAAGACACGCCCCCCCCCCCCCCCCACCAGCTGATGGCTGCCGGAGGGCCTGGTGGTGCCTGTGTACTGCAGCCACACCTCCGTCAGTGGGTCCCAGGGCAGCTGTGGCTGTTCTGTAGCTCATCACCACCAGGGTGTGAATGGGTGAATGACTGATTATGCTGTAAAGAGTTCTGACTGCTTTTGTGTTTTAAAGCTAGCTTGTTTTGCAGATTCAGTAAAGCAGCTTCAATAATAAATGCATGATATATTTGGTTATCTTGTGTATTTTTAACCTTCTTTTAAAGCCAGGTTTATTCTGAAGAGCTGTATATATTAAACGTGTGTGTGTGCGTTTGCTGCTTCTGTGCTAGGTAAATGGCAGAGAGGTGGGTCGGGACCCGCGAGTCCTGCTAGAGGAGCTCCAAGCTGCCAGTGGGATCGTGGTGCTGAAGATACTGCCCAGCTACCATGAGACCTTTCCCCCAAGACAGGTAACACACGCACGCACGCACGCACGCACACACACACACACACACACACACACACACACACACATCCGTCTTTTTATCTTCGTGAGGACCCTCCATTGACTTTCATTCGTTTTTGTGACTGTGTTATGCCTAACCCTGACCCTGACCCTGACCCTAACCAAGGCTGTTCCACTCCCAACCCTAACTAACTAAAACTTCATTCACACCACGTTTCTTTGCTTGTCTTCATTGTGGGCATGAGTTCACGCCATCACACGATCCACAGGAGAACTTTTGTGACGTTTGTGTTCATTTCTTCACTGTTTTTTGAACTTGTTGGGAACGCACCAGGAAATTCCTCCGGCTTCATCCATGCACCAGTTTTTTACACCAGGGATCAGCTGTTGGCGCTGCGGACACCGTCTCTCTTCTCCACAGAAAAGCCAGTTCTGCCCCAGAGTTAAGGAGGAGACATAGAGGGTACAGAGCGGGTTGTAAGCTCCAGGAGAGGAAACGGAGATATGACCCTCTGTGATTATGGGAAATGCCCAGTAAGTTTGATGATGATGTTTTTTATGGAAGCGTGGATGAATGAGCTCATTGCTGACTCTGAGGTTTCCCTGGAAGGATTTAAAGTCACGGGGGCAGAGCGGAGCGGCAAGAGCAAAGGTGGAGGTCTGGCTGTGTTTATTAATGAGAGGTGGTGCAACCAGGCGCATGTGATCATACAACTCTGTACAATGGACATTGAGTTATTGGCTGTTGGCCTCCGGTCCTATTGCATCCCAAGAGAGTTTTCACACGTAATAGTGTTTAATGTGCACCCCCCACCCCCACCCCCCCGGCTGACGCGGTCGCCACATGCGAGCGGCTCCTAAGTTCTGTGGAGGAGCTGCAAACGGCCCATCCGGATGCGCTCATTCTCATCAGCGGTGATTTTAATCACGCCTCACTTGCCTCCACTCTCCCCACCTTTCCCTCGTATAGCCGTTTTTCCAGGAACACTACTCCGAGTAACAGGGACCGGTCCAGCTCGGTTTGGTATTTTCCCTCTTTTCTCCCATTTTTAGTCCCTGCTACGTTGAAGTACCTGGCAAGACTGAGTCAGGCCGGCATCGTAATTCTGGCCACTGAGTGGCTAGGGGGTGGAGTCACTGGTTTATGTCTTCTGGTTCACTGCCTGCAGCCATTTCCTGGTTCAGTCTGACAAAAAGCCATAAATTTGAGCAAAATGTCCAGCAGCACCACCATTTTTCAACTGAGTTGTGTGTTCGGGTTTCGTGTTACCTTACACTGTTTACTGATGACCTCCTGCTATTTTCCACAAGTAAAAATTGTGTTTATTATTAATTTATTAGTTAATTATGTTAATTTCTGCATAGAGAACATTGTCCCAACACGAAGAGGGAGGTGCTTCTTGAATATTAAACCCTGGTTGACCCCTGAGCTTAAATCCCTGCTGAATGATAAGAAAAAAGCTTTTATGGCTGGAGACAAAGAGGAGCATGGACGAGGCTAGAAGGAGCTCAAATATGAGATCAGACGGGCTAAAGACTTCTACAGGAAGAAGCTGGAGAAACAGCTGGGGCAGAACAATGCTCGAGGTGCATGGGGAGGCCTGAGAAACATCACAGGTCACAGTGGGAGGAGTGGTGCCAGGTACGCCCGGAACACACCAGACACGGAAGCGCGACAACACGCCACCGAGCACCATGGAACGACGAGTGCTTCTATTCGATGCCTTTGTTTATCTACGGTCTCAATCACATCAGCTGTGAGGCGCCACGAAGGCTCACGCCGTGCAGCGAACGCTTCGGCATGAGCTCCAATTTTTTTGTGAGCCGTGAGTGAGCCGCGACAATTCTGGCAAGAAGTCAAACTTAAACAGAAGAGGCAGGCTGGTAAATTTTACAATATAAAGACATTTTTCTAAACGAAACGCCACAATTGTAAAATTTGATCATTTTTGTTTATGTAAACAGACTAGAGAGATAAAAATGTACACACACACACTCCTGCGGAGAAACAGTGTTTCCATAGTTTTAAATGCAGTTTTTACAGCAAAAGATGGATTTAATAAATGTGGATATAAACAAATACATTTAATTCAAAGGTAACTATACAATAGTATTGTACACTACCACAAACGCTAGTTATTTACTCACCCATTTAGAACCGAGCAGGTCTATAAAACAGCAGCAGGATCAGCGCGGTTTCTGATATCAACAAGCAGGGCAAACTGGTTTCACACGCACTCACGCACGCACGCACGCACACACACACACACACACACACACACGCGTCTGTTTTTCTGACATAGTGAGGATCTTCCATAAACTTCCATTCATTTTTGTGATGGTATTGCCTAACCCTAACCCCAAACATAATCAATGCTGTTGCCTAATTTATGCTTCTTTGTCTGCGTCGGGACGAACGCACGCAACGCCGTTATCTGTCCTTGCGAGCCTGCTGGAGAGCCCTCGCAAGGACGGACGGAGTCCAGCTCTCTTTTCTAAAGCCGGATTTATACTTCTCCGTCAGCTCCAAAAGGGAGACACACACGCACGAACGTAGACCCCCTCCGCTGGTTTCAATCTTACCTTACTGGCCACAGTTCATCCAGTTAAAATCCTTTTCCTCAAAACCCTCCCCAGTCAGGTCAGGTGTGCCCCAGGGCTCTGTCCTGGGGCCCCTCCTCTTCATAGTCTATCTCCTCCCTATCGGCAACATCTTCCACAAATTGAATAATAATCTCCTCGTCTTTGTTTATAATTTCTTCCAGGGTGGTGGTCCCCCCTATCTGGCCACACTCCTGAACAGACATTCCCCATCATGCTCCTCTGACCAAGGCCTGCTTGCTGTCCTTCGTTCTAGGTGTCGTACTCGCGTGGACCGGGCTTTCTCCGTCCTAGCCCTGTCACTCTGGAACCAGTTGGCACCCTCAGTCAGGCTGCCCCCATCTCTGATGGTCTTTAAGAGTCGCCTAAAAACCCACCTCCTCCACTTGGCGTTCCCTGAAAGTGTTTGACTTTGGCCCTCTTTTATGTTGATTTTATTTCCCTGTTTTCATTGGTTCACTCTCTCCCTTGTTTTACCCATTTGTCTTCTACTAGAATGTTTTACCTTTTTTTGTCATTTGTAATTTGAATTGCTTTTATTTTTAATTTATTCACCATATTTAACTTTCTCATGTACTATGTTCAGTGCCTTGGGCTTCCCGACAGGGTTGCGGAACGCGCTTTATAAATAAAGCTTTGATTGATTGATTGATTGATTGATTGATTAATATAATATCCAGTTTCACTGCTTCACGGATGACACCCAGCTCTACATTTCCAGTAAACCCAACTCAACTCTCCCAACATCCTCCCTTACCCTCTGCCTCTCAGAAATCAAATCATGGTTCACCTCTAATTTCCTCAAACTCAACAGCAATAAAACTGAACTTCTAGTTGGTACCAAATCCACCATCTCCAAATCTGACAGCTTTTCTTTAACTATTGACAGCGCCACAGTCCCCCCCTCCCCTCAGGTCAAGAGTCTGGGTGTAATCCTCTACAGCTCACTTTCTTTTCAAGCTCACATTAATAACATAATTCGGTCAGCATACTTCCATCTACGTTCCATAAACCGACTCCGCCCCTCCCTTACCCCTCACACTGCCGCCATTCTCGTCCACAGCCTCGTCACCTCCCGTCTCGACTATTGCAGTTCACTTCTTTATGGTCTCCCCAACAAACTCCTTCATAAACTGCAACTGGTCCAGAATTCAGCAGCCCTATTATCACCAGAACCCCTTCCTTTCACCACATCACCCCGGTTCTCCAACAGCTTCACTGGCTCCCAGTTAAATTCAGGTCCATCTTCAAAATTCTCCTCCATACCTTCAAAGCCATCCACAACCTCTCTCCTCCATATATCTCAGACCTTATAAGTATTCACACCCCATCCCGTTCTCTCAGATCTTCTTCTTCCATCCATCTTGTGGTTCCTTCTGCCTGTCTCGCTACCATGGGGAGCAGAGCTTTCAGCCGCTCTGCTCCCCGCCTCTGGAACTCACTCCCCCCAGACATCAGGAACATCGACAGTTTCACCCTTTTCAAAACCAAACTCAAAACACACATGTTTAAATCTGCCTATGACCTCTGATTTTATTGAACTGTTTCTCTCTTTGTTTTTTCTTCTTTGTGTTTTATTGTTGTTTTAATGTATTTTCTGAATTATTTTCTGTTAAGTGACCTTGGGTGTTCTGAAAGGCGCTTTTAAATAAAATGTATTATTATTATTATTATAGACATTTTGCTCTCATCTCCGTCTCCTGGGGAGTGTTGCAAAGCAATTCCCTGCCAGGACAGCAGAGGGCATAGTGCTGTTTTGTGGTATCCTGTCATGTATCCGGGTTTATATTGTGTTTTTAGTATATAATGGTGGCGGTGTAGACTGTCCAATTAGGGTTGGGCAATATAAACGATATAAAATTGGGTAATGATGAGTTTTTGGCTCTACCGCAATAACACATGATGTCACTAAGATGTGCACCCGCGCCGACATTGGAACAACAGAATGGCAGTGACTGCAAGCATGTAGCGGGAGGAGGAGCAGCATTCTACACTTTTTAGACGTCTTTATTCTGCTGCAATATATTTTACATATGAAGATTTTTTAAAGCATGTCATTTTGACATTTATAAACAAAGGAAAAAATGTATCGTGGTATATATCGTAATCGCACATGCTTCAGATTATATGGCAATATAGATTTGAGGCCATATTGCCCAGCCCTGTGACCAATCACAAGCTTGAGTTCTCTGTCTCGATGGACGGATGTTTAGAAAAGAGAGCTCGACTCCGTCCGTCCTTGCAGAGCTCTCCAGCAGGCTCACAAGGACAGATAATGGCGTTGCATGTCTCTGCACTGACTGACAGACAACCAGAAGAGCTGTTTCAGTCTGACTCTGCTTGCAAATCCTTAGAAAAAGTGGGAACAGATTTTGTACATGGTGCATCCCAAACTCACAAACTGCTCTAATCCATAGAGTCCACTGTCTGTTACCATGGTGATTAATGGTAATCACCATGGTGATGTAGCTGTGCTCCTGAATCATATCGTAAACCAACACTCATCTCTACATACTTAGCACTCGGGCAGCTAGTTCATTGTTTCTTAGTTACTTCATATATATTCAGTTTACGGAACACAAGAAGGACCAGGGAGATAACACATTCTGGGTTCCCCAGGTGTTCTTCAAGTGCCACTATGACTACGATCCAGCCAATGACAACTTAATTCCATGTAAGGAGGCGGGCCTAAGGTTTGAAACAGGAGACATCCTGCAGATAGTCAACCAGGACGATGTCAACTGGTGGCAGGTGACGGACACAACACCATACATGCACATTTATTTGTTTTTCTGGTTATGCAGCCAGTGATCACCCTTGTAAATGATAATAAGAAGACCTTTGTTTTTCTGGGTGCTGAGCAGGCCCGTCATGTGGAGGGTGGGAGCACAGGGCTTATTCCCAGTCAGATGTTGGAGGAGAAAAGGAAAGCTTTTGTTAAAAGAGACGTGGAGCTGACACCTGCAGGTAACTGGTTAGAAAATTACCATGCTGATCAAATGAAAACATGTTGCTGCCACCTACTGGTGAGATGTCAGGTTAGCAACAAGCACATGCAGTTTTAGTTGTTTTGTGAGACCTAGGAGGAGAGCAGCGGGTGTGCTTACTTCTGACTGACTGGAGACAGAAGGGCAAGCATGAGGTCTGACCTCAGCTCTTTCTTGGTTTTACAGGAAACCTTTGCACTGGTGTTGGTGGGAAGAAGAAGAAGAAGATGATGTATGTGACCACAAAAAACGCAGGTGACAACCTCTGTGCCCTCATGTACCTGTTCAACTAAATAAGCTAATCCTGCCTTTCACTTTCCTTCTGATTCCTGTTTTTATCCTCTCTCAGAATTTGATAGACATGAGATCCTGCTCTATGAGGAGGTAGCCAAGGTCCCGCCTTTCAAAAGGAAAACTCTGATTTTGATAGGTCCCCAGGGAGTTGGTCGGCGTAGACTTAAAGCCAAACTCCTACTGAGGGATCCACAAATCTTCGGCACCACCATTCCATGTATGTACTCGTGCCATCTATTGTTCAAATCATGGCTATAAAGTCATAATCATCACAACTGTTTGGATTACTTTGCTTTTAAAAAGGTTGTTTTTTTTTCGACGTCCCATTAAAAAGTGTGTAGAAAACCCAGATAGCCGTTTTAAAGCTGCAACAGCAAATCTGCAAAACCAGCTAACTTTTAAACAAACAGTCATGGAGCCCGCACCCCTCCTGTCGGCTATCATCCTTAAGCCACGCCCCCCTCTAAAATGGGAACATGCAAGGCCAGAGGAAACAAGATAGTGCCAAACATCAGTCGCTGTTATTTATTTCATTTAACCAGGAAATAAACATCCCATGAGATTAAAAACCTCTTTTATAAGGGTGTCCTGCCTAAGAGGCAGCAAACTTTTAAACAGTTACAACATAAAAGCAGTGGTAAAATGTCATAGATCATTCAAAACAATTACAAATTACTGATGTGGTCTCTGATGCTTTCAGCTTGCTTTTGAATTCATTTAAGGAAACTAGTTCAGTCAGTTTCCAGTCTTTCTGCAGCAGGTTCCAATCAGAAGGAGCTGAATGGGCAAAGAGAGCAGCAGCTGATCTTTGGACCTTAAAGAATAGGAGTCAACACTTCTCTGTGTGATTAAGGTGCAAATATAAGAAGGCAATAATCCAAGTAGTGCCTTGTATATAAAAAAACATAGCAATGGCCCTGGCTTCTAGTGGCCAGTGACGGCCATCCCACTCGTGAGTACAAATCTCAGTGATGTGTCATGGCTCTACAGTTGGTGATAAACCTCAAAGACGCATGATGAACGGAGTCCAGCTTTTGAAGAGCAGCAAAAGAAGCATTCATATAAAAAAGATCACCATAATCTAACCCGGATAAAAAGTAGCAGTGACTAAATTTTGCTTCAAAAGAAAAACACAACTTATTTCGGAAGAAAACATCCTAGCTTGATTTTTAGTTTCTTCACCAGTTTTTTTTTTTTGTGTGGTTTAAAAGTAAGTGGGTCATCAATCAGGACACCAAGGTACTTGTATTCCTGGACCACCTCTATGACCTTCCCTTCCAGAGTGGTCACTACTGGAATAACTTCTGGCAGTTTTCTACTGGAAAGCAACTTTAGCTTAGCCTTCTCAGCATTGAGGACCAGTTTTAACTGATTAAGTGAATGCTGGATTACAACACAAGCTTTCTGTAAGGATTCAATAGCCTGAGAAAGTGAAGTTCCAAAACAATAAATAACTGCATCATCAGCATAAAAGTGCATATTTGCATCAGAAACATTTAGACACAAGTCACTGATGTACAAGATAAATTAGAGGGGCCCCAAGACTGAGCCCTGGGTCACCTCCTTTCGCACCACACCAAAGTCAGAATAAAGACCCTCACATCGAATACATTGTGTCCTGTCATTCAGGTAAATTAAGAACAAACCAAGCATAAATAGTCTGTTTTTCAACATAGTATGGACAAATTAAATTAAATTCAAGTTTATTTATAAAGCACCAATTCACGACCAGAGTCGTCTCAAGGACCTTCACACAGTAAACATTTCAAGACAGATCAGATCATTAAGCCAATCAGTAAAAAGTTTCCTATATAAGGAACCCAGCAGGTTGCATCGAGTCACTGACTCGTGTCAGAGTCTTTACAGCAATCCTCCTATTAAGCAAGCATGCAGCGACTGTAGAGAGGAAAACTCCCTTTTAACAGGAAGAAACCTCCAGAGGATCCTGGCTCAGAATAAGCAGCCATCCACCACGACTCACTGGGGATGGAGAAGACAGAACACACACACACACAACATATATACGTAGCATATATATATATATATATATATATATATATATATATATATATATATATATATATATATATATATACATTTATATAAGTTCTGGCTGTAGCCACTTAGCTCCAGGTCGACTCAGTTCTCAGTCTACTAGAACCAATATGATCCACAAGGTTTGCCAAATAATCCACAGAATACTGACTATCATATTTAAACGATACTATAAAAAAATCAATTAAAACTATAATACCTTTAAAAATCTAAAATAAAGAAATAAATAAATAAAATCTTAAAAAACTGTGAAACACTGACAGACATTCAACAAACAAAGGAGCTGCTGCCATCTTGGATTAGCTGGTTTCCAGGTCCAAACGTCTTTTGTTGTCCGTGACTTCAAATGGTGTTTTTCCTTTTGGGTCTCTGGTAGTTTGTCCTTCAGTTGAAGTGGTAGCAGCCAGCTGTTTCTCCTTCTCTGATATTACTGAGTGGAGAACCTCTCACACCTGTGCTGTTCTGTTGCTAAATTCAGCAGTAACAACTCCACCACGGACTCTGGTCGCTCTGCAACATTGATGTTTTATATCCACAAATAACACAAGCTTGGATGAGTTCTGCTGTGTGGTGGAGTTGCTAATGCTAACAGTTTGCATCTACTAGCATGATGCGCTCTGCTTCCTCCTGGTCCCTAGATCAACACAGCGTTCTGCGGTGGTGAGCCAAGATGGGAGAGAGCATGAATGCTATCATTTGCTTGACTCCAGAGTTTCTCCATCTATTTTCTTTCTGTAGCTAATGCAGGAAGTGGTAGAAGACTATATTCATGTTCAGCCTGCACATGAAGCTCGGAGCGATAGATCGTGTCAAACAGATCGAGTACTGTGCTTTTCTAAGTGGGCAAGCCCTCTAATTCATAACGTGAGTGTGCTTATGAAGCCACAACATTTACAGCCTTGGTTCTTGTGCCTTTCCAGACACTTCCAGAAAACCCAAAAAGGGCGAACGTGAAAATCACATGTATGCTTTCACCAGCCGCAGCAAGATGGAGGCTGACATCAAGGACGGGCGTTATCTTGAATATGGAGAATATGAGGGCAACTTGTATGGGTTAAAGATGGACTCAATACATGAGGTGGTTGAGGCAGGACGGATCTGCATACTGGACGCCAATCCACAGGTAAACAAAGGTCCGCTTTGGTCGGGTGGAGCAGGGTACTCGCGGAATTGTCTCTATTCTGCTGAATGTGAGTGCGTGGGTGGGTTGTTGGCCCGAGATGGGCAAGCGGCCCACCGGGACGGTGCCAGAACACCAGATAGGCCAGTCCACCCCGTCAGTGTGTCAAAGACCACAGACATCTGTCTGAGCCTACCGGCTTCAGGGTGGTGTTGGTGTTAGGGTGCACACATACAGATAGACACGCTACTGTACAATATCAAACGTAGTAGCATATAGGTGAGGGGTCAGGGTTTTTAGAGCTTCATTTATTATACTTTATTTATAGAGCACATTTCAAAGCGATAGTCACATGACAACAAGTAAACAAAAACAGAAACCAAATAAAACCAATAAAAGCAAAACATCAAGCAATGAAATGTCCTCTGAGGCCTGATCTTTAGTTAGTTAACAGTGGGTTAACCCGAACCCTCCGACATTCACATGCTGTCGTCATTTTTGCAGTCATTTAAAAACAAAACCATCAAGGTGAAGTTTTGCTAAACCATTTTCTATAAGAGGTGTAAAAACCACTCAGGCCAGAAAAATAGAATTAACTGACAATGTTGATAAGACATTATTAGAATCTAATAATTAGGAGTTATTATGAAACTCCATAGAAGGAAACATGGCGTCGCCCAGAGACTTACCCCAAAATTCCACTATCTCCGCTCCGGCACGAACTCAGCAGCAAAAACGGTCCCGTTGTAGTCAATCAGAGCTGTTCCACTACCGTTCCGCCATCCAGCAAAAAAAGGATCGATTCTATTTTTGCCGGACGCCGGAGCACCTCCGCAGTAAATGGACAGAAATCACAATGGCCCAACAGGAAAGGGAGCAAGCACAACTTCCGTTATTTCACAATAAATCGATAAACAAAAAGCGTTTTTTGTTTCGTATGCACAGGTTTAACAACTTTTAACAACTATCAGTGGCGGTTGAACTTTAAATGCACAAAAATAAGCCATAAATACAGTTCCTACTATCAAAGTAGTCACGCTTTGTTGATCCAAACACTGCTGATCTCTCAACACAAACGATGGGCAGATTAAACAGTTCATGCCGATGCTTCTCCCACACAACGGGTGTTTGGATCTAACTTCCGCGTTTATTGCTCGGACTGTATCGCAAGATCTCGAAAATCCCGCGCATGCTTGTTTGCGCACCTCAGGTCTCCGCACCGGAGCAGAGCCATTGTAGAACGGGTACCAGTATAATTTGAGTTCGGAAGCGAGCGGCAGCGGAAAGCGGGGGCGGAGCGGAGATAGTGGAATTTTGGGGTTAGACCCGCTCCCATGTATTTTAGAACAGATTTTTATGGTTAGATGTTATGAAACTGCCAATATTTTTCTACAGCTCTACATCTTTTAATTCATTTACAACAACATTTCGATGATATTTCCAGAGATTAATGGTAAAAACTACACATTGTCTCTTTAAGAGCTCAGCCAGAAAGCCGTCTCATCCAGGAGATTTTCAGTTCTACGTGCTGCTGATCGCAGAAGTAATCTCAGTCACAGAGATATCCTTTTCTTGACGTTCAACCAGATCCGCACTCGCAGAGGGGATAGCTATACTGCTGATAAAAGCCTCCCGATTATCCCTCGTAGACGAGTCCTACGAATACGACTGGTAAAGTCAACCAAAACAGGTTTGAATTGACTGAGCTGACTCGGTCATCCAGTCATGGTGCGGTCCAGTGAGGAGAGCACACAGCATGTCCACCTGCTGTGAGATAAGGCTGTGAAAGGTCAGGTAACAGAAAACAACCTGACAAATAGTTTGGTGCACGGATCGATGTCAGGACCCCTGGAAGTGTAAACAACTCTCCCACCACAGTCAGCTCACGCCCAGCACAGCAATGTTTATATGGCTCAAGATAAAAACCACGAGGCACTCCACAAGATCAAAATAAATAAATAAATAAATAAATAAAAATTATTTCAAAACAATGCAGGCAAATATGTAGATTACCAACTATAATAGCCTTCTGGATTAACAGGCCAAAGCGGACTAGACCTTTTTATCTGAGAATGACCCCCCTGTGTGTGTGTGTGTGTGTGTGTGTGTGTGTGTGTGTGTGTGTGTGTGTGTGTGTGTGTGTGTGTGTGTACACTCTAGTCCCTTAAGGTGCTGCGGACCTCTGAGTTTTTGCCCTACGTGGTGTTTCTTCAGTCTCCTGACTTTGAAGTGCTGAAGGCGCTGAACTGCTCTGCCGTAGAAGCAGGCGTGGTCACCAAGACGCTGACGGTACGACTCAATATGACCACCTTCACTTCAGTTGTACGTAATTCTAAAGACTAGTGAAGTGTGTGTGTTTTGTTTCAGGACGAGGAGCTGCAGAGGACGTGTGATGAGAGCGACAGACTTAAGACAGCTTTTGGTCACTACTTTGACCTCACCATCATCAACGAGAACCTGGATGAGACCTACCGCACCGTCAAAGCTGCACTGGAAACTGTTTCCAAGAACCCCCAGTGGGTCCCTGTGACCTGGGTTTTCTAAGAGCGGGCTGTCGGTTACCCAGAGGGAGAGAAAACGGACTCATGTACAGATGGAAAATACTATTTTCATCTGTTAGTGGAGGTTGTTAGTGGCTGTAGGTTGTAGGGTAGACACATCTGAACTGTGTGTGTGTGTTTATACAGGACTCAGCCTTAAGGCAAGGCAGCTTTAGTTCTAGAGCACATTTCAAACACAGAGGCAATTCAGTGTGCTTTACAATTATCAGGACATGATGTAAAGGACCAAAAGCCAGGTGCCATGATAAAGAGGGCAGTTCTGACACCAGTTGCACCAGTATCTCACTGGTCTGCCGCTGTTGGACTATGTCCATAACATTTCTGATAAACCATTCCTCACCGGGGGGGGGGGGGTTTGCTCTTGTGTCTGGGATCCAGTCCGGACTCTGCGAGTTTCAGACTTTAGAAGGATTAGAGACCGAGTTCTGGATTAGGACATGTGACACAACCAGATATAAACCTTGTGTAAAGCAGCGGTTTAAGTGGGTCTAAAGGGGCATGGACACTATGTCTGTCTGAGGACTCGCCTGTTTACATCCACACTCCCATGCCGCCTCCACTCAGACTAAAACTTCATGTCAGACACGTAGAAAGTGTGTAGCGGATTTAGTGACCTTTTTTGTCCTGTAACATGTAATATTCAGAGGAGTCATGCGTAAAACACAACCCTAGTAATCACCTCCACATGAGCAAGGCCCAGATGTAGTTATTAGCCCTCTTAGGCAGCAGGAGGGTTGCAGGTTCAAATCCCAGCCTCCCAGCCTTTTTTATGGAGTTGGCATGTTCTTGTGCACGTGTTCCTTCTCACAGACCAAAAACATGCATGTGAGGTTAAAACGGTGCGTGAGGTCACAGGTCAACTGAACAGCTGGAGGAGGGAAAGTGTCAACACAGAGACAAACGCTCTGATCAGCATATGTTTGTTTTTGTTTTATCTACTTATTTATAGATAATTATATCTGTATTTATCCCTCATGGTGTAGATAGCCTGTAGATACACGGGTTTAATGACGGGGCCCGGTACGTACGCTACTTTAGTGTTAGTACCTGTAAAGTAAACCCATCGATGAGCAACACTGTCACTTTATATCTCACTGTAAATATGCCATATCTTATTATGTTGCCTCATAGATGTGTTTGTGCTCTTTCGGCTTGCCGTACAGGTCCCTCTATAGTGCCAACTGCAGAAATGCTTCCTTACAATTTTTGTTTCTTTAGTGGGTTTTGTGGCAGCTACTGACTCTTAGATTAGAATGAATAACAGCCTGGATTAAAATAAATAACAATCTGGATTAGAATGATAAAGAGCCTGGATTAGAGATGATAAACATCCTGGATTAGAATGATAAAGAGGCTGGATTAGAAATGATAAACATCCTGGATTAGAATGAATAACAGCCTGGATTAGAGATTATAAACAGCCTGGATTAGAGATGATAAAGAGGCTGGATTAGAGATGATAAACAGCCTGGATTAGAATGAATAACAGTTTGGATTAGAGATTATAAACAGCCTGGATTAGAAATGATAAACATCCTGGATTAGAATGAATAACAGCCTGGATTAGAGATTATAAACAGCCTGGATTAGAGATGATAAAGAGGCTGGATTAGAGATGATAAACAGCCTGGATTAGAATGAATAACAGTCTGGATTAGAGATTATAAACAGCCTGGATTAGAAATGATAAACATCTTGGATTAGAATGATAAAGAGGCTGGATTAGAGATGATAAACAGCCTGGATTAGAAATGATAAACATCCTGGATTAGAATGATAAAGAGCCTGGATTAGAATGAATGACAGCCTGGATTAGAGATTATAAACAGCCTGGATTAGAAATGATAAACATCTTGGATTAGAATGATAAAGAGCCTGGATTACAATGAATAACAGCCTGGATTAGGAATGATAAACATCCTGGATTAGAATGATAAAGAGCCTAGATTAGAGATTATAAACATCCTGGATTAGGGGGAGTTTCTAGTTTCTAAACGTAGAAGATGATGAATGTTTTTGTTTCTGGCAGCTAAACCAGCTCTTAGGACGCCCCGGATCCTCGCTGCGTCCTTTTTCTATCAAACCACATTGATGCAATAAGAACCTTTGGCCACTGTACATATATCTACTGATAGAAATGCATTTTGGCACGTTCGCAGCAAGTCTTACAACAAGTGATTTACTACTGATGTGTTTTTATCACGTTCAGAGACTCTGGGGCAACATTCTTTATCTAAAAGAGGTTTCTGGAATGGTGCAGGATTTTGAACTAAATCCATAAATGAAACATGTCATGAGGAATGTCCCAATGATGTCAGTGATCTGATGAGGCTTGTTTTTGCAAAAAAATAACAAAGCATCAGTTTCGAGAAGCTGGACACAGCAGGTGCTGTCATGTCAATGAGAATAGTTCCTGTGCACGTTCCCAATTCTGTCATTTCAAAAGTCAGACTCCATGTTTGAAGGAAGAGGATGAGCTGTGTGGTTTGGGACCCGCTGCAGTACATCAGGATGAATAAAGACATTTACCCAGTTACAATGTGTTTTGATCTTGTTGTGATTGAGGCTTGTCTTCAGAATAAATGGGTCTGATTCAGATCATTTAGAACATTGTCTTTCTTTACTGCTTACAGGAACAAAAGGACAATAAAAGTATTTAGCAGCCTCTGATTGTGCAAGTTGTCCCACTGACCTTGGTTAAAGCGCGGCACAATGTTCAAAACAGTCATTTTCCCACCCCTCCCCCACAGATCAACATCCCATCTCCCTCCCACCTTCATTCCCATCCCATGCAAACACACACACACACACACACTTAAAAGCTAAAGTGAAAAGACAACTGGCTGAGTAGAAGAAGAAGAAAATATCATTAATAAAGCGCCTCTCAAGATCACGAGGCGTTTCACAAAAACAAAAAATGTAAAAAAGTAAAAAAAAATTAGAAAATGGTTAAAAATATATTTAAAATGAGCAAAAAACAGACAATTGTGATTAAAAACAAAAAGAAAGAGAAAGAGAGTGAATAGGAAAGAGGGAAATCAGTGAATCCTGAGGAAGGTGGAATAGGTGGGGAGAGCAGAACAAGAAGAGGGTGATGAAGGTCACACCAAAGCCTGAACAAGTGAGTCTTCAGCTGCTTTTTAAAGGAGACCACTGAGTCCACTGATCTCAGGCTCAGGGGGAGAGAGTTCCAAAGTCTGGGGGCCACAGCAGCAAATGATCTGTCACCTTTGACCTTTAGCCTGGTGCATTGCACAACCAGTAGCCTCTGATCACTGGACCTCAGGGACCTGCTGGGGGTGTAGGGACTAAGAAGATCACCAATGTAAGATGGTGCTTGTCCATGTAAGGCCCTATAGAGCTCCGGACCCCACGTGACTCTCAGTAGACGCTATATTGGCAGTCAAAAAAGGTAAACAAACACGGATCGTAAACATGAGCATGAACGTGATCGGCTTGGATTTTACTTCGTCGGAGTTTACTTCACACTTTAAAACCAAAGAAATTGTTTTATATAGTCAGAAATTAAATAGACTAAACATCTCCGACCCTTACCGTGCCCCTGGGATACTTTTTAAAAATGCCAGAAGCTGTCGGAGCGGACTTCTTACCGGACCTGGCCGGGGAACCCCTTGGGATTCCCCCGGAGAAGCTGGCCCAGGTGGCTGGGGAGAGGGAAGTCTGGGCCTCTCGACGCTACTGCCCCCGTAACCCAACTCCGGATAAGCGGATGACAATGGATGGATGGACAAATAACAGATTTACACGTAAGTAGTTTAAATAGAGTGCTGTTCTGTTTGAATGTATAAACTGAACACCAAGAGAAATCACTAGTTTGATTTTTTTCCGTGAATAAAATAAAAATGTCAGGCAGGAGCGTCTCAGGATCTGTCTGAGATCTGTCTCGGTGAGACAGATAACAGAAATCCAAAGTGCTTTTTATAGGTGATCTGACAACTGATCAACCATTGCTTAAAAATGAAATACAGCTTAGTCGGTTAATTGCTGTGATCATAAAACACGTAAACGGCAGCACGCAGAACTCACGAGGCAACGTTTTACGTGATGTTTACTTGTTGCTTTGAGTAATAAGACAAAAAAAGCCACGCCAAAATAAGTTTAGGAAGCCCACTAAGAATCGTAATAAAAGCATTTAAAATAAATACCACACACAGTTGAGGAAACGTTGGTTTAAGTACCTGATATGAAGTGGTCGCTGCATAAGCGAAAACCTTTACTCTCGGGATCCCACAGCTTCATTTTAGCCCGGTCTCTAGCGCGTTTTATTACAATGATCCAACATTTGCGGCGCTCCGGATCTTGGGGAGTCCTGTAGATGGCTCCTTCCTTATGTCGTCCGCGTCTGTTCTGCATTCTGGGGCACAACAGGAATCTACCATATTTCCCATTTGATTGAGTTTTCTGACAATAACAAATAGTCCAGCTGCGGGCTTCTGCCTGCCAAGATGGCGCCCTTTCGATTTGAACTGTTGCATGCCGGGAGAAGTGACGTCAACTCCCAGAGCTCAATAGACCAGAACCAGGATTTTGAAATGAACCCTGAAGTTGACTGGCAGCCAGTGAAGCTGGAGGAGAAGCGGGGTGATGTGGGTGTGTTTGGAGGACTTGGTCAGAAGCCGAGCACAGGCATTCTGAACCATCTGTAGACGGTTCAGGGAGGTTCCGCTCAGACACGTGAAAAGAGAGTTACAGTAGTCTAAGCGTGAGGAGATGAAGGTGTGGATAACTGTCTCAAGTTCAGAGCGGGACAGAATGGGACTCAGCTTAGCAATGTTCCGGAGATGGAAGAAGGAAGAGCGAACAAGAGAACTGACATGAGAATCCAGGGTGAGAGCTGGGTCAAAGGTCACACCAAGATTCCTGACGGAAGGTTTGGTGTGAGAAGCAAGCTGACCAAGAGAGTCTCTGACTTTGGGAACCAGCTTGTCTGGGGCACAGATGAGGATCTCAGTCTTATCTTCATTCAGCTGTAGAAAGCTCCCAGCCATCCAGGTTTTAATAGAGTCTAAGCAGGTGTGTAACAGCTGCAGCTTTGACATCTCATGGGGCTTAAAGGAGATGTACAGTTGGATGTCATCTGCATAAAGATGGTAGGAGATTCCTTTGAACGAGCTCAGGATGTGCTGAAGAGGAAGCAGATAGAGGAGGAAGAGTAGCGGCCCCAGCACAGAACCTTGTGGGACACCATGGGTAAGAGAGGTGGTGGAGGACCTAAACTTGGAGATGGCCACAGAAAAGGAGCGCTCAGAGAGATGAGAGGAGAACCACTCCAGAGCAGTTCCTGATAGGCCTACCCAGTCTCTCAGCCTCTCCAGTAGTAGGTGATGGTCAAAAGTGTCAAAGGCTGCAGTCAGGTCCAGCAGGACCAGAACAGAACCTTGCATCACTGTGAGTCAGAAGATCATTAGAGACCCTAAGAAGAGCTGTTTCAGTACGAAAACCTGACTGGACACTATCATAGATGTTATGTTCATCAAGAGCAGCTGTGAGTTGTTTAGCCACAACCTTTTCCAAGATCTTGGAGATGAACGGAAGTTTAGAGATGGGTCTGAAGCTGCTATGGAGAGAGGGGTCGACTCGGTTTTTTAAGAAGCGAGTGGATTACAGCGTTCTTAAAGTAAGCAGGGACCTGACCAGAGACCAGAGAAGCATTAATTATAGAGAGCACGCTGGGACCGATGGACTGAAAAGCACTTTTAAACAAAGATGAGGGTAAGATGTGGAGGGGGCATGCAGAGGTCTTCATAGAGTTAACTAGTTTGGTTAACTCAGGCAACGAAACAGGAGCAAAGCTATCTAGTATGATGGGCCTGGTTGGAGTTGGGAGAGGCAGCGATAAGGCTGAAGGAGAGATGCTAGATCTGACCTTATTGACTTTGTCCACAAAGAAAGACAGAAAGTTCTCACAGTCTGTAAAAGAGTGGATGGAGGCTGTAGGAGAGGCAGGAGTACAGATGCAATAGGCAACAAAGAAGACGGAAAAGTCACCAAAAGGAGCCAACTGCACCGGAAGCAGCAGGATCGGCAGCAGCAGCCAGGGCACCACCACACAGCACCAAGAGGAGGCCCAGGCAGCCACAGCCAACCGCCTCTTCCCGGGCAGTTGGCCTCCACAGAGGAAACACTGGTAAAACCTAAAGAGATTAGCATAACAAGTTCAATTCAAGTTTATTTACATAGTGCCGAATCACGACCTTCACATAATAAACATTCTTATACAGGTCAGTTCATTAAGCCAATCAGTAAAACGTTTCCTTCTTAAGGAACCCAGCAGGTTGCATCAAGTCACTGAGGTTGAGGTGCTGCAGAGTCATTAAAGTCAAAGATCATCTTAAGCATAAAACACCGGATGAATAAAAGTCTAATTAAAACACTGTGATAAAAGATAACCAAGTAGAAGCCAACAATTAAATATATAAAAAAAAATATGATACTAATAACGAATACAGGTTAAAACAAGTTAAAATTGATGTATGAGAAAATATATGTCACGTAAAAGAGTAAGTAATAAAACACTGATAAAATATATAAAAGATGGTTAAACAAGCTAAAATAGATCAAATTCAGCTAAAAGCTATAGTAAAACGATGAGTTTTGAGCCAGGCCTTAAAAACATGAACATTCTCTGCGACCCTGAGGTCCTCTGGTAGACCGTTCCAGAGCTGAGGGCCATAAAACTGGAAGGACGCCTCGCCTTGGGAGTGTGTCCTGACTTTTGGTATGACAAGGAAACGGCTGCCAGAGGAGCGCAGGGACTGTGAAGGCTCGTATTTCAGAAGAAGTTCTGAGAGATAAGAAGGCCCAACACCATTAAGACATCTAAAAACCATTAGAAGAACCTGAAAGTCAATCCTGAAACCTACGGGAACCAATGCAGCTTGTTTAAGACGGGTGTAATGTGCTCCCACCTCCTGGTCTTTATCAGGACACGTGCTGCTGAATTTTGAAGAATTTTTAAACCTGAGGTATCCTTTTTAGTGTGGCAAGGTGGAGAAACGAGGGCTCGGGCGGGATTCGATCCCTAGACTCCCGGGTGAGTCACATCCTGATGTGACAATCGGGATGCAGTGACAGGATGCTCACCCTGTCACATCTATGTGCGCATGTCCCTGTGCTCCTGCACAGGGTGCCACAAACTTCAGATCCATGGACATACTTGACAGTACTACACGGATCCTGCTGACAACACCAAATGTGGCAAGGTGGAGAAACGAGGGCCCGGGCGAAATTCGATCCCCAGACTCCCAGGTGAGAGTCACGCACGCTAACCAGTCAACCAAAGGGACATCCTCTTGGCCTAGTAGCCAGGGCACGTGATCAATGGGGATACAGTGACAGGACGCTCACCCTGTCACACATCTGTATGCAGCATAGAATCTAAAAGCAGGTTCATCCTGTTTGGTTCTGACCCGGTTCTACCAGCTGACTGTTTCCTAAGTATCTCAGAGCCCCGCTGGGCGTAGATACCTGAAGGAGATCTGACATGTATTCTGGCCCCCTGCCATTGAGTGATTTATACACTAGTAGAAGTACTTTGACATTTATTCTGTAGTTTACTGGTAACCAGTGTAGAGATGTAAGAACAGGAGTGATGTGCTCCGTTCTCTTAGTTCTTGTTAAGACTCCAGCAGCAGCATTCTGAACAAGCTGCAGTTGCTTCACAGCTTTTTAGGGAAGAGCAGTTGGGAGACCATTGCAGTAGTCCAGCCTGCTGTAGATGAACGCATGAATGAGTTTCTCTAGGTCCTGTCTGGACATGAGACCCCTGAGTCGCACTATTTGATGCAGATGATAAAACGCTGATCTAGTTCTAGCCTAAATATGACCAGTGAAGCTCAGGTCTGAATCAATTATGACTCCAAGATTTCTAACCTGGGTCTTTGTCTTTATTCCTCTGGAGCCAAACTGAGCAATAACCTCCATCCTATCCTTCTGATTTCCAAAGACCATAACTTCAGTCGTGTCTTTGTTTAACTGGAGGAAGTTTGGTTGCATCCAATCCATAACTTGCTCCAAACACTGATAGAGTGAGTCTAAAGGACCATAGTCACTAGGTGATAGAGCTACGTAGATCTGGGTGTCATCTGCATAACATGATGGCAATGTTGTTATTGTTTATGACCTGACCCACTGGGAGCATGTAGAGATTGAAGAGCAGTGGTCCAAGAATTGAGCCTTGGGGGACCCCACATGTCATGGTGATCAGCTTTGATTTGTGATCACCAATAGAAACAACATAACTCCTGTCTTTGAGATAAGACTGGAACCAGCTTTGGACTGTGCCTGATAGTCCCACCCAGGTTATGAGCCTATGTTGCTGTTGGTTTAGCATCCAGGAAACAGCAGAGAACGTGTCTGCTAGTAGAAGCTAACCATTAGCATCAGCAACTTCACCACACAGCAGAACTCCTCCAGGCTTGTGTTATTAGGAGATATGCCGTCAACATTGCAGAGCAAACACAGTCAGTGGCAGAGTCCTGTGGCTGTTGGCCAATCAGAGGAGAGATGTCTGAGTATCAGGAAATAAGACTCCAGATCCTGCCGTGTTTAGCTCCCCTGTCATCGGGTTATCTTCTGCTTGCTGAAACAGGGGCGCCAGAGCTTTTTCCCACACACAGCTTGACTCACAAGGCATTAATTTATGCTTGAGACCACTGCAGATGTGTTGGGAAAACGAGTGAACTCTGTCTTCAAATACAACTTTTTTCATTGGGGTTCTCATTTGTATTCTCAGATGGGGTGGTGTGTGTGTGTGTGTGGGTTTGTATTTGTACCCTTGTGAAGACCGGATATGGGACATTTACTAACCTTATGAGCGATGGTCCTTGTTAGGACCAAAACCCGGTCCTAATACGGAGTACTCCCTAGAGGTGAGGTTTACAGATAAGATGTGAATTGAGTTTTTGTTACAGATAACTTTAGGAATACACTGGTTAGGGTTAGGAATAGGGGGTAAGTACCACTTGAGGGTTAGGGTTAGGGTTATGGTTTAGGGTTAGGGTTAGGCATAGTGGACTCACTAAAATGAATGGAAGTCAATGCAAAGTCCTAACATGGGTACAAATACAAGAATGTGTGTGTGTGTGTGTGTGTGTGTGTGTGTGTGTGTGTGTGTGTGTGTGTGTGTGTGTGTGTGTGTGTGTGTGTAAATGCATCTACCATCTCACGAGCTGCCCCGCCAGGTTTCCCGTTTCCCAAATGTTCTTACACCTGGTGCAGAGATTGCTTAAAGTTTCCACATTTTTCTTCATATATCATAAAGTTTGTGTAGAAAACCCTGTAAATGATGCCCCCTGCACTGTCTAGTCTTTCAGGAGGTTATTTCTTTATCCTGATGACTCTGAAAATTGGATGATGTTTAAGGTCAACATCTTTTCTGGGGTGGGCCTACCAGGACTCTGTACACACAGATATTTGTAAGAAACAGATGTTTGTGGTTGTGGACACCACTGGAAATGGACCAGAACAAGCTGCTCTCTCTTCTCTCAGTTCTCATGATCCCAGTGTGGTGAATCTGTCATTTCCTCAGAGCATCACATGTTCTTGTTAAAATCATTTACTGTTTATTTCACCCTAAAACCTTCAGTTTAATCTGTAGCCTGGTCCCTCTGAGGCTCAGCCGCTCCAGACAGTGCTTTTTGCCTCTCTTGCCTGCTCTTTTGCTCCCACTCCAACTTTTTTCTTGTCAGAATTTGTAAAAATTTTTCTGTTCATCCACCTTTTAATTTTGATCTTCTTGGTTCCAGTCCTCATCCTAACTCTGCTATGCTGTGGTGGGAGCTGCTGGTCGTCTTTAGCGGTGTGTTTGTGACAGTCGGCGTTTTATTGTTGCTCAGCACCAGGCAGCGCTACAAGGTGTTCAGTGAGAAGTGCCTGAGGCCCCCAGGACCCCTGATCACTAACAGCCAGCAGAGGGATGCCAGGCTAAAGAGAGGTAAACTAAACTAAACTAAACTAAACTAAACTAAACACACACCTGGCTAAAAATCACAGCAACTATTGTTGTACTTTTTGGTTATAGGAAATAATTTCACAGTATATAATTAGTATTATTATTGTTGTTGTTTATAGTATTCTACATTGCTTGTCACAAACCCTTTTTCCTTGAGGACCCTTGGCATGTGTCCAAGACAAGCCAGGACCCATGCCCCACTGTCCACACACACACACACACACACACACACACACACACACACACACACACACACACACACACACACACACACACACACACACACACACACACACACACCTATTCTGTTGGGGATTTTATAACTGTAGGTTTTTCAAATATAATCTTGGTAACCTCACAGCCTCGGTGCACAGATCCCCTTGGGGGTCAGCAACCTCAGGTTGAAAACCACTGAGCTACCGGACAGTAAAATAATTGAAAAAAAATCATATTTAATTATTTGGTGTTTTAGTCGAAGTTTAAGATTCTGTTTGATGATTGTTATTAAACCAAATAACGGTCAACCTCAAGATGTCCCCTGGCCAGATGAGAGACATAGTCCTGGGTCTTCCTTTTGGTCTCCTCCTGTTTGGACATGCCTGGAAAACCTCACCTGGAGGAATTTGTGAGAAACCTATTGACCACCTCCGTAATTCTCTGACACAAAGATTATGCAGATTCATGTCAACAGCCTATTATATTGGAACATCCCATGGTCCTCCACAATTCTGGTTTGAAATCCATTCAGTTTTACTGACAACACAAAGCAGCTTTATTTATGTAGCACACAGAGGCAGCTCAGCGTGCTTTACAGCAGCAAGATCAGACAAAACAAAGAACAATGGAATTCCATATAAACGTGAAAACTACAACTAACAGCACTGAGTAGAAAACTAAGAGTGGTGGTAGTTTGAGTAGGAATTACTAAGTATGTGAAAACATTCATTAAACTAAAAGTGTAAGTGCATCAATGACTGCAACCACTTCCACGTGGTAAGCTCTTGATCACCACCGAGGAGCTGTCCTGTTCCCTCAGAGGGAGGAGGACGTAGCATCCTTGCGGGGACAAAATACCACAGTAAAGTGTGCATGACTGTGTGGCTGTATTGACCTGTCAAATAAACAGTCCATGCAGAACTTAGCTGTTGTCTTTCTGAAAGATGCTGGAGGCAACCATGGACCACCTCAGATTGGGCTGCGCTCTTTCACCAGCGTCTCTCAGCGGAAGGCCGAGGATGATGACAGGACCAATGATAGCAGGGTGTATTTCATCACTGGCTACTGCTCTTTCAGACCATAAAATGCCACCACCACACCTTCTTACACCTCTACCTTGTCCCCTCCTTGGGCCTGCTCCTCCCGTTGCACCTGCTCCTCTACCTTGGCCCCTTAGGGCCGTGATATACTTGCGGTTTAACGATGCAAACGCGTGTTTAAAATGGCTGCCACGCGTTACTTGCGTTGATTTGAGCATTGATGTTTCTACCATTGTTAAAAGAAATGTGTGGTAACTTTGAAAATGTGGGCACAAGTTTTAATTGTCAAAAGCTCCAGCACGCCATCCCGGACCATGGGTTAGGGCTAGGGTTAGGGTTAGGGTTAGCCCCCCAGACCCGGTCCCCCCCCCCTGCCCTGTTTGAGCTGATGTTATTGCAGAAGTAGAGGCTGTAGCAAATGTTTGGAATGTTGTTGTGTGTAAACCTTTGGAAAAAGGACTACATGATTCAAAACTGTGGTTGTGGAGACAACGTTCTATGTGATGTAGAAGTGTGTGTTTTGTGTGAATGGCGTGGCTACTACCGACCCATGCTGCGTCTGTTGAATTAACAGTATAGAAAATGTGACTCTTGGCCGGTCGAATGTTGTCAGTCACTGTAAAGCCGCTGTGTGCAGGGTTCCGGGTGGACCGGGTCCCCCCTGCTCTGGACGCGGTGGTGATCGGTAGTGGCATCGGAGGTCTGGCTGCAGCAGCGCTGCTGTCCAAGGCGGGGAAGAAGGTGGTTGTTCTGGAGCAACACGACCAGGCTGGCGGCTGCACACACACGTTCCAGAATAAAGGATTTGAGTTTGATGTTGGTGGGTATTCCCAGTAAAACATCACCAGCATGTAGAAACCGCCTGGGCTGAAGAAGAACGCCCGGCAAGGACAGATACTGTAAAACATAGAAAGTGAAAATAGATCTTCATGTAGACACAGCTGAATTCATCTGCAGCACACCTTCTAGGACACAGAAGAGACGATGGTAAAATGTCATCAGTGTGTTTCATAAACAACCGTTTCACTTCTTAGACGCAGATCTAAACCTAAAGACTCCCACCTCTGTTTGGGTTCTTGAATGAAGACTTTAGAACATGTCTTCTTCCTTCCAGTGAGGTCATTAGAAGGTAGCATGCTTCTGATGAGGCTGCGTGAGTCAAAGCTTAGTTGTCACGAACAGAAAAACGAGTTTGCTGCAGTGAAATGTTGCTGCTCACCCTGGAGGCCAAAAATATAGTTTAGGTATAGAAATAGATGTGAACCAAGCAAATGAAAGGAAACATGCAGATAGAAATAAAACAACCAAAACAGAAGCTTTAGAGATGTGTGTGTGTGTGTGTGTGTGCCTTTGCCATAATCATTTTTGATTTTTTGACCTGATGACGATGCTCGGGTATGATCTTCTGTTCCTTCCTGCGTTACTGATTGAATGAAACCTCAGAACAGCTTTCCCTTTTCACCTTTAGATCAACAAATTTCATTCTCACTTTTATTTTTACATAATTAATAAGTTGAAATTGTTTCTGCCGCCATCAGGTATCCATTACCTGGGCCAGCTTCATGAGAACAGCATGTTAAGGGTTGCTTTGGATCAGATCACAGACGGCCAGCTTCAGTTTGCAAAGCTGGAGCAGCATTTTGACACCGTGTTCCTGGGTGGACCCGACCAGCGCCGGTAAGCCCCTTCTCACTGCTCCCATGAAGATACATCATCGTTACAGCAGGGGAACAAGTAAACCCGCTTTAGATCCAGACCTGTCAATAATAATAATAATAAAAATAAAAATAAAAATAAAAAATAAATAAATAATAATAATAATAATTTCATGTATTCTTTACACCAATCAGAATATTCTGCGATGTTCACAGACATCCAAACCTTAGAAATGAAATAAAATCGACACCAAAATTAAAAATGGTTAATAATCCTCTTCATTAAAAGATCAGTTATCCGTGAACACTTTTTTATATTTGATGTTGTCCAGCTGAAGCAGACGTCTGCTTATTTCTAACAGAGCTGAGCTGTGGGAGAAAATATTCAGATTATTTAATCTTATTTTTCATCACCTGTGGGTTTAGTGCATCTATTAACTCACTATTAACTATAAAATTATTTATAACAGCTCGCTACAAAGATCTGGTCCTAGAAAGTGTTAGAATTAAAGCTTGTTCAGCAGCTCACCTGTTCCTTCACTGACAGGAGAAATCCCCTCATCAGCTGCAGGTGATCAGAGCCGTGACTGAACACCGGCCCAAAAAAAAGCAAAAAGACGACTAAAAACACCAATCTCAGAGCGGCCGCCGGGAACTGCGCAGAATGGGGCCTTGTTACGCCTACCGTCCCCGTTAGAAAGGAAGTGCCCAAAGCTTGGCGCCGTTGCTTGTTAGCTAGCAACGCAGTTTTCATGAACACACAACTTATAAATCTGTGGCTCAGGTATAAAAGTATTCCTCTCCTCCAACAGACCTTCGTTGACAGGGGATGTCTGTTCTTGTCTGTTCTTGTTCAGATTTCAGTCAGCTCAGAGCGTTTCTACCTACAAGCTTTTGCTCAATATAAAATTCTAAATAGACGCTGAAGACCACTGGAGACATAGCAGTATGATGCTGCAACGCAGCGCCACCCATGAAAAGTAAAAATTACAGCGATGTTCCGTTACAAAATGATAATCCTGTTCTAACAATATCGATTTCTTGTTCTTACAATAATAAAATTCACTTTCAGACATAAAATAAAGACGTACACATGTATAATATTGAATATAAAATCAAATATGACAATTATATTGTACAGCTGTGATAAATGTCTGCCTATGAACGTGAATATTATATTGTTTGAATAATAAACTGTTAATGTAGCACTGCCCTGGTTTCATTTTTCGTGGGTGGCCGTTCTGAGCTAACGATGAGTCAGCAACATTTACTTGTCATGAACACGTACAAGAGCTTACATTTTAGCACAGATCGCTTAGCACAACTTACCTGCGGGGGCTAACCAGGGCTAACCTAGCATCATGGTCCAGCCTTGTCTCCTTCTTTGGCTTCGCTAGCTCCTAGCTCTCCACTTCCTGTGTTGCACAAACTGTTTGCGATACCAAACATCTTGACTCGTGAGGCGAAGTAATTCCAGGAGAATAGACCTGGTACTGCAACGGAGTTAAGGCGGCTATGTCTGCTGTGGACATAAGAACTGCTATTTTTAGCATATGTTTAGCTCCGACCTGTTGCTACCAGATGTACAGTGTGAGCACATGCCTCGTGAGATTTGCTCTGCGAGGAAGCTCCACAATCTGAACTGAGGCTGAACGCTATGAGTGTAAAAGTCCACCCAGTTTTAGAAAGTTTTGTCTTGCATCGAGATGTTGGTCCACATGGTAGGGGTAAGGCAGGGGTAGCAGAGGTGAGGAGTGAGCACCACCTCTGCCTTACCACACGGACCTCAAGGGATAAACCATTAACGCTGCTCAATGGTCACCTTTGCTGGGGGGTCACCTGATAGGACAGTGGGAGGGTCAAAAGTTTCTGATGTATAAATTCAATATTTGGCTCGATGGCAACATCTGGTCCACTTAGAAATACCCTAACTGATAAAAATGCTAATGTGTCAAATACAAGTAATCTCCTCGCTGTGGATAAAATTTGGCAAGAGGTTTCTTCTTACCTATTTTCAGGGAGTATCATATCCATGCGGGAAAGACCGAGATGGCAGCTTGTCTGAAAAAGCAGTTTCCAGGAGAAGAGGAGGCCATAGATGAGTTCATGAAACTCATGAAGGTTTGAAGGGAGATAATGATTTTAGAAGTATTGATATTTATTAATGTTATCAACCTCAGGAGTTTTCTGACATTAATCACCTTTATAATAATAAAGTTGTAGTACATTCCTGCAGTCAGCAGGACAACTGTATGCTCCCTCAAGCTTGTGACTTCTGTGGCATTCTGCTGGTTGATAAACCTGCACATGTCGGGGTGTCCTTTTATTGTGGGCAGGCTAAGGCACACCTGTGCATTATTCATGCTATCTAATCAGCCCCCTTGACATGATGCCACACCTGTGAGGTGGGATGGATTATCTTGGTAAAGGAAAAGTGCTCACTAACACACATGTAGACAGATTTAAGAACAGTATTTCAGAGTCATGAGTCTTTTGTGCATGCAGAAAAAGTTTCAGATGTTTGATTTCAGCTCATGAAAAATGGGAGAAAAAACAAAAGTGTTGCATTTATATTTTTGTTCAGTGTAATAACACATTTAATTTATTGGCACCTTTCAGAAGCCAGAGTCACCTTACAAAAACAGATAAAACCACAAGTAAAATAACAACAAGATCAGATTGTACAATACATAGAACACTGTTAAAGGTGATTTCAAACCTGGAGATAGAGTTCTGGTGTTAAGTCCTCTTCCAGGCTCTGGTTTGTCTACTCGCTTTGTGTGTCCTTTAGAGGTTTAACAGAAGGTAAATGAAACCACCTATGCTGTAAAAACACCTGAACGCAGACGCAAGATCAGAACATGTCACATCAACATGTTGAACGAGTATCATCCTCTAATCAGTCAGACTCTCCATCTCTTGAAGCTACAGTGTGTGCTGCCAGCATTCTCATACCTGTGGCTGGGGAAGATGTTCAACCCAGACTGACCCACTTTGTCAGTCCACGCCTTCAAAACTCACAAGCAATAGAACAACCACCTGAGAGTCTTTCATATTTAGAAGAAGACGTTAAGAGAGAGGTGATGGAGAGCAAAAATGCTCTCTTCTTAAAAGAGGCACAAAAAGAGCCGCACAACAGGCTTCCAGCTTTAAGAGCTCTACAACTACTAAAGTGCACAAGCACTGGGAGCTCGAAATCCAAAAGACTTACTTTAACAAAAGTCTCAATACTCAGAGACAAAAGGGCGTGTTGTTATCAGCATGGAGCCAGCGAGAGTAACTAGACTGGCCAAAGCTGCTGGACAGAGCATCAAGCCGAGCCAGCCTCAGAGTACAGCAGCTCCTTAAGTTGAAGAAAAGTTAAAGTCCCATTATTAGTTGTCACACACACAGGTGTGTGCGAAATTTGTTCTCTGCATTAGACCCATCCCCTGGGGGAGCGGTGAGCTGCAGACACAGCCGGGCTCGGGAACTATTTGGTGGTTTAACCCCCCAATCCAACCCCTTAATGGTGAGTGTCAAGCGGGGAGGCACTGGGTCCCATTTTTTCAAAGTCTTTGGTATGACCAGACCAGGAATTGAACCCCTGATCTCCCAGTCTCAGGGCAGACACTCTACCACTAGGCCACTGAGAAAGGTTAGAAGAAGAAGAAGAAAGTATTATTGTATAGCGCCTCTCAAGATGAAAATCACGAGGTGCTTCACAAAAACAAAAAATAAAAAAATGCAAAAATATAAAAAAGCATTTAGAAAATGTTTAAAAATATATTTAAAATGAGCAAAAATAGGCAATTGCGATTTAAAAGAAAAAATGTTAAGAAAGAGAGAGAGTGAATAGGAAAGAGAAATCAGTGGATCCTGAGGAAGGTGGAATAGGTGGGGAGAGCAGAATAAAGAGAGAGTGGTGAAGAAGGTCAAACAAAAGCCAGCTTGAACAAGTGAGTCTTCAGCTGCTTTTTGAAGGAGACCACTGAGTCCACTGATCTCAGGCTCAGGGGGAGAGAGGTCCAGAGTTTGGGGGCCACAGCAGCAAACGATCTGTCACCTTTGACCTTTAGCCTGGTGCGTTGCACAACTAGTAGGCTTTGATCACTGGACCTCAGGGACCTGCTGGGGGTGTAGGGACTAAGAAGATCACCAATGTAAGATGGTGCTTGTCCATGTAAGGCCCTATAGACCAGAACCAGGACCTTGAAATGAACCCTGAAGTTGACTGGCAGCCAGTGAAGCTGGAGGAGAAGCGGGGTGATGTGGGTGTGTTTGGAGGACTTGGTCAGAAGCTGAGCACAGGCATTCTGAACCACCTGTAGACGGTTCAGGGAGGTTCTGCTCAGACACGTGAAAAGAGAGTTACAGTAGTCTAAGCGTGAGGAGATGAAGGTGTGGATAACTGTCTCAAGTTCAGAGCGGGACAGAATGGGACTCAGCTTAGCAATGTTCCTGAGATGGAAGAAGGAAGAGCGAACAAGAGAACTGACATGAGAATCCAGGGTGAGAGCTGGGTCAAAGGTCACGCCAGATTCCTGACAGAGGGTTTGGTGTGAGAAGCAAGCTGACCAAGAGAGTCTCTGACTTTGGGAACCAGCTTGTCTGGGGCACAGATGAGGATCTCAGTCTTATCTTCATTCAGCTGAAGAAAGCTCCCAGCCATCCAGGTTTTGATAGAGTCTAAGCAGGTGTGTAACTGCTGCAGCTTAGACATCTCATGGGGCTTAAATGAGATGTACAGTTGGATGTCATCTGCATAAAGATGGTAGGAGATTCCTTTGAAGGAGCTCAGGATGTGCTGAAGAGGCAGCAGATAGAGGAGGAAGAGCAGAGGCCCCAGCACAGAACCTTGTGGGACACCATGGGTAAGGGAGGTGGTGGAGGACCTAAACTTGGAGACGGCCACAGAAAAGGAGCGCTCAGAGAGATAAGAGGAGAACCACTCCAGAGCAGATCCTGATAGGCCTACCCAGTCTCTCAGCCTCTCCAGTAGCAGGTGATGGTCAACAGTGACAAAGGCTGCAGTCAGGCCCAACAGGACCAGAACCAGAACCCTGCATCACTGTGAGTCAGAAGGTCATTACAGACCCTAAGAAGAGCTGTTTCAGTAGAATGAGCTCTACGAAAACCTGACTGGAAGCTATCATAGATGTTATGTTCATCAAGAGCAGCTGTGAGTTGTTTAGCCACAACCTTTTCCAAGATCCTGGAGATGGGTCTGAAGCTGCTATGGAGAGAGGGGTCGAGACTCGGTTTTGTAAGAAGCGGGTGGATTACAGCATTCTTAAAGTAAGCAGGGACCTGACCAGAGACCAGAGAAGCATTAATTATAGAGAGCACGCTGGGACCGCTGGACTGAAAAGCACTTTTAAACAAAGATGAGGGTAAGATGTGGAGGGGGCATGCAGAGGTCTTCATAGAGTTAACTAGTTTGGTTAACTCAGGCAAAGAAACAGGAGCAAAGCTATCTAGGATGATGGGCCTGGTTGGAGTCGGGAGAGGCAGCGATAAGGCTGAAGGAGAGATGCTAGATCTGACCTTATTGACTTTGTCCACAAAGAAAGACAGAAAGTAGCAGCTGCAGCTGATTAGCTCGATGGGGATCAGGTGGGTGGAGCCTTCAGCAGGCTTCACTGCATGGAGGTGAACCTGGCAGGAAAATAACAGGTCCTGTTACAGAGCTGGACAGTAGATATGTGGTGTGATGGCAGGAGGGCGTGAGGGTTTTCCCCTTGGGTTGTGACATTATGGTAGACGGTTTGTAGACTAGGGAGTGTTAGCCAGATTGAACAAGTGGGATGTGAACGAGAAGAGGGAGTCTGCGTTTCGGAGATAAGGAGGAAGAGAGTTCCAGAGCCGAGGAGCAGAGCAACTGAAATCTCTGTGTCCATTGGTGATGAGACGGGCAGGAGGAACCATGAGGCGAACGGCAGAAGAAGACCGGAGGGTGAGAGAGGAGATGGCAATGTGGATGAGATCAGACAGGAAGGGGGGGGGGGGGGGGGGGGGGGCAAGACAATAGGCATATTTGTAGGTTAGGATTGGGATTTTGAAGGAGATTCCGTGTTCAGTGGGCAGCCAGTGGAGACGCTGAAGAACAGGTCTTGCTGAGCTGGAGGACACAGACTCCAGAACAAGGCCCTCAGGCTGTCAGATGCTTTGTCTGCTAGGCTATGTCAGGAGGCTTTACCCACACTAGGCCCCTCTATTTTGGCAACTATTAATGGTAGCCTGCAGGCGAGTGAGGTCCTGTCCTCTTTCAAGCATGCAGTGGTGTCACCCCTGTACAAAAACCCAGCCTTAATTAGTTGGAGTTGGCTAAGTTCAGGCCGGTCTCACAGCTACCTTTCTCCTCTAAAGTGCTTGAGAAGTGTGTGTGCCAGCAGCTGACGTTGTTCCTGGAGGAACATGGGCGACTGGAGGTGTTCCAGTCTGGGCACAGTACGGAGTCTGCTCTTCTACAAGTTTGAAACGGTGTGTTCTTAGCCAATGACTCAGGGAACACTGTGATTCTGCTGTTATAGAGAGAAGCGTGTGGTCAGAGAGGGGGAATGGATTTGCTTTCAAACCAGAGGGGGTCACCCCACAGCAGCAGGCCAGGTCCAACATGTGACCTTCAGAGTGGGTGTGGAAGCTGATGAGTCCTAACTATCCAGGGCAGAAAGAAACTCTCTGGTCAGTGGATAGTTTCCATTACCAATACGGATGTTAAAATCTCCAAGAATTATGGTGCTGGGAGAGAGTAGGAATAAATGAGTGAGAAGGGCAGTAAAATCACCCATAAAGTCCTTGTTTGGCTTAGGAGGTGTTCTTCTTCTGCGGACGTTAACGCAGCTCAAACGGCAGCACGGCCCCTCACAAAGCACACGTGAAAACGAGGGCTTGGCCGTGGAAGGGGTGCTTTTATTTTCCTAAGCGTTTCCATGTACGATGGCAAAATTATTAGCAAAAACTTTTTTTCCTGTTGAGTGTGTGCCACTCTCAATTTATGTAATTAAGAGACCTGATGCTCTTCCAGTGGGCATTTAGACGGTTATTGAAGATGACATGAAGGCAGCTTCCCCGTATAAAAACAACATAACTGTTTTCTTATTGGTCAAAAACTCATCGTTAATATTTATTTAATGTAACAACAATCAAAATAAAGAATTACTAAAAATAGTTTGTCTGTTTTGCACATGAACCCTTTCTGTTTGTTTGTGATGCTGAAGGCATGAACGTGCTCGGGGACTGAAGCGTGCACTTTACTCTGATGATCACACTTGACTGTGAACTCTTGCAGCTTGCATCACGGAGAACTCCACTCATCGCTATCCTGAAGATGATTCCCTACTGGGTGGTGCGCATCCTGATCAGAACTGGGCTCTTGAATCAGATTTCTTCTGTCTTCCGCCTGGCGGCAACCAACCATTCAGAAGTGATGTGCCGTCTCACACAGAACAAGGACCTGCAGGCGCTGTCTGCCTACCTGTTCTACGGTGCTGATCACACAAACAGTTAAGATCCAACAGATCACACACTCACACACACCTCACACTGCTCCTCCTGCAGGTGTTCCTCCCAAAGAGTCCAGCTTTCTCATCAATGCCCTCCTCCTCCATCACTACAAACGTGGTGCGTACTACCCGGTCGGGGGGGCCAGCGAAATTGCCTTCCACATCATTCGCATCATTCAGCAAGCAGGAGGCGACGTGCTGGTCAGAGCTCCGGTACAACAGATCCTCATCAACAACCAGGGAAAGGCCTACGGTGAGTCCTGACCCTCCCCGGGACCTACATGAGCTGTCAGAGACAACATGGATGGATCATAGAGCAGTGATGCTGGTGTGCTGCCAGCAGGAGAACCTCACATATGATAAATGAGAGCATTTTATTCAGCTACACAAAACCAAGTGGGACAGTAACGGTGGACCCTAACGAGGATAATGGAAATCTGTGAAAATGGAAGCGATCTAAAAGGAGGACGTTTTACACACAATCATCTGGCTCGAAGGTTTTTACTCGCGTTGAATGAATCTGTAAAATAAACCCGTTTCACTTTTAGACAAGAGAGAAAGAAAATATTAAACTTTTACAGGAAATTCCTCATTTCTGAGCTCTAAGGACCAACGTGTAGATCTGTTAAAGCATGAACACACTCATTTACACCTATCACAGTCTGTGTGTGTGTGTGTGTGTGTGTGTGTGTGTGTGTGTGTGTGTGTGTGTGTGTGTGTGTCAGGTGTGACGGTAAATAAAGGACTACAGCAGACTGAGGTCTATGCTCCTGTCATCATCTCTGATGCTGGAATCTTCAACACTTACCAAAAGTTTCTACCTCGGCACTTGCAGGAGGAACCTGGTACGGCACACACAGGCATCACGCAGCACGCGCTTTCCAACGTGTTGCTTATTATGGGCTGTATCTTCTCTTTATTTTGTGTCTTTCTGCGTGTTGCTGAGCAGAAATCCAGTCAGTGTTGGGTATGGTGCGCCATGGCATGGGTTCCTTTTTGGTGTTTGTTGGCCTCGATGGAACCAAAGAGGACCTGGACATTGTTCCCACTAACTTCTGGATGTATAAGGACAATGACCTGAACTCACTGTAAGTTTTGTCAGCTGTTTGAAGCTTCTTCTTCTTCTTCTTCTTCTTCTTCTTCTTCTGTTAGGCATAAGTCATATTGCTCCTGCACCACATCACAAACTAGGAGTCAACGCCATACACTTCAGGGACACGAAGAAATCCCGACATCAGTCCACCTGATTTAACAACATGCCAAAACAAAACACCGTTTCACCAGCAGCCCCCAGAACCCAGAACAGTTCCCTCCTCTGCAAAGAGCAACTCCCACAGGGCAAGAGAACGTGCCTCATCATTTCCGGCTCCTCACAATCACAGTTTCCGTCCGAGTGTTTCCCAGTCAGACGGTTTACAGTGCTGGCCCAAGTGGATGGGGAGAGGGACGTCTGGGTCTCCCTGCTGAGGCTGCTGCTCCCATGCTGGGGCAGCAGTAGCTCAACAGGTTGAGCGGGTTGTCTAGTAATCAGACGGTTGCAGGTTCAATCCTGGCTCCGGACAGAGAATTCTGCTGTTGTGTCCTTGGGCAAGACACTTAACCCACCTTTCCTGCTGGTGGTGGTCGGAGGGACCGGTGGCGCCAGTGCTCGGCAGCCTCGCCTCTGTCAGTGCGCCCCAGGGCAGCTGTGGCTACATCGTAGCTCATCACCATCAGTGTGTGAATGTGTGTGTGAATGGATGAATGATACACTGTAGTGTAAAGCGCTTTGGAGTCCTTACTCTGAGAGGCGCTATACAAGTGCGGGTCATTTATCATGACCAAATCCCACATAAGTGGAGAAGAATGGATGGATGAATAAAATCATTCACCCTGAGTTTAACATGCAGGCTGAACATGAAAATAGTCTCCTACACCTGTCTCCTGCAATAGCTTCTGATAGAAAACAGACGGTGAAACTCTAAGATTAGAAAATCCTGACAGATCTACCTCATGCTTAACGTTCATGGACTCACCCATCTTGACTCACGACGGGGAAGGCTGTTGTTGGTTTAGCGTCCAGGAAACAGCAGAGAACGCCTCTGCTAGAAGAAGCTAAGTGTTAGCGTTAGCAACTTCACCACACAGCAGAACTCCTCCAGGCTTGTGTTATTTGTGGAGATAAAACAGAGCAAATAGAGTCAGTGGTAAAGGTGTGTTGCTGTTAGCCAATCAGAGGACAGATGTCACAATATCAGGAAGTAAGTGCACATCCTGTAGTTTTCTGCTCCCCTCTCATCTGGCTCACTTCTAATTCCTGAAACAGGAGCACCAGGACTTTTTTCCTCACAGAGATGGACAAGGCATTCATGAATAATAGACATCACTGCAGATGTGTTGAAATAACAAGTGAACTTGGTCTTTAAAGCCTTTCTAAAAACATCTATAACAATTTTGCATGGGTTGACATTCTCCTGCAAGATGTGGGGTTAACTGTAAGAGTGCGTGCTTCTATCCACTCTTAGACCTGATCCATGATCAGAGCTGTCGGTGTGCTGCAGCAGCAACGTCTAGAGAAGTTAGGGTGTCAGGGTTAGCCAGGTGTGGTGCATAGTTTCATGTTTTAACTTTTGTGTATGTCTGTGTCGGTATCCCCTAAAGCATGGAGCGTTACTGTTCTCTGAGCAGAGAGCAGGTGCTAGGAAACATCCCCATGATGTTCATCACCTTTCCTTCTGCTAAAGACCCGACAGCCGGCATCAGACACCCAGGTAACACACCTGCTTGTTAGAGGCACAGTAGCCCGTCAAGTCAGAATGAGCTATTCTTGTCTTATTTTTGTGCAGCTAAATCCTGCATGACCCTGCTAACCATGGCCCGCTACGAGTGGTTTGAGGAATGGGAGGAAACCAAACTTGGCAAGCGAGGCCCTGATTACCTGGAACTGAAAAACAGCATAGCCCAGGAGCTGCTGGACTGGGCATTGACCATCTTCCCTCAGCTTCGTGAAAAAGTTTGTCTTTTTAGCATGAGCATGTCCCGTAGTAGGATAGGAGGAATTCACGAGAACCGACTCTAACCAACTTTATGTGTGATCTTCAGCGGATGTGATTGTTCCAACTGTGTGTTTGTGTATTCAGGTGGTGATGGTTGAGGCTGCCACTCCTTTAACTAATCTCCACTATCTGGGAGCTCCCAGAGGGGAGATGTACGGAGCTGAGCACAACGTGGAACGCTTCAGTCCAGAAACTATTGCTAGGACCCGACCCCAGACTCCCATCAGCGGCCTCTACCTAACAGGTGATGGGACTAACACAGTGGTCACAAATCATTTCTCACATGTCCATCTCAGTGGAACATGAACATGAACTATGTTGGCTTGACTTACTGAAGTCCAAATGGAGGGGCTCAAATGCAACAAAGTCTTCAACAGCTGTGCTTAATAGCAAAAATAGATAAATAACTATTTTGAGTACCTGTCCACTGTAGTGACCATTACGCATCAAAGGGTTGATTTAAAAAAACACTAAACAATATGTTGTTTCAAAAACACCGACTCCTTACAAGTCCAAACGCTCCGGAGGGCGCACATTTCTTTTAGGGCGCTTCGTACGGCTGGAACCTGCAGTAGCTGTTAAAGCTCGGTCAGCATCACCTGATCCCTGGTTTCCCTCAGAAAACTGCTCACTCACAGGAGTAGTATCATTATGTCCCAAATCATCTCCAGGATCAAAGTGGTTCTCCCAGTGTTGTTCTGTTTCAGTCACCCTCTGCGCTGGCGGTCCCCTTGTTTTCTTTGTGTCGAGCATCTGGTTCACGTCTTTTTACATTTTTCCCATTCAAAGACACCAAATATGTTACGGGACCCAAAACGTCAGTTATCACACCATCCAACCACCTCTCTTCTCCCCTGTAGTTTCTCACCACATACGGCCTGAGCCACAGAAAAAGATCTCAGCCTTTTCTTCCTGTAAGCCCGGTGGGGAGCACCGCTTGTTTGAGCTGCATCTGGTTCTAGCAGCGAAAGCCTCGTTCAAACTTGTCTGTGTGAAAACGGTTTTCTTTGTAGTGGTATGTGGCATGTTTCTGTACCTGTACAAGAAGTTGGCAATACAATATCACGCTGCCAACAACCTCGCTTTTGGCTAACGATCTTTGGAAATTTTGGACTAATCTTTCAGCCAGTCCATTTGATGCAGAATGATAAGCAGGAGTTTCAATGTGCCTCACTGCATTCATGGTAAGGAACGTATCAAATTCACTACAAGTGAATTGCGGGCCATTGTCTGTCACGCAACCCATACGCTGCAAACACATTTCTCATAGCCTCACTGGTTTTGCTGGCTGTAGTGGTCTGCATGTGTATTATTTCAGGCCAGTGTGCGTAAGCATCCATCACTACCAGAAACATTTGCTTATTTACCCCAATTTACCCAGTATCCTGATCAAGAGTAGGCCATCAAAACAAACTGTGGAAGAGCGACTTCATTGTCACCATTCCCCAATGGCTGTCACGTAGCTCTGATAAGAACCTCACATGCAGTTTTTCTGGGATAACAACCCCTAACCCCAGTGTACACATTCATTTTCTAAATTGTTTTAAATTGTTAAATCAACACGTACTGAACTGGAGTAGCTGCTAGAGGCTGCATGACTTAATTTTTTAAAAAGTCGACCGTCAAATAATGAAAATCGAGTCGACTTCGACTAGTCGTTGATGACGTCACACACGTGAAGCGGCTAAAATTGACGATGGGTGACCAAGCGTTTTTTTTGGGGGGTTGGTTCGCTGGAGTTTTTGACAATTAAAATTGCGCCCACATTTTCAAAGTTAAACACATTTCTTTTAACAACAGTAGTTTCTGCTTCAGCCATCTCCCCCCTCCCCCTGCGCAGCGGCCGCAAACTCACTGATGCGCCTGCAGCCTCTCGGAGTTCCTGCTGCTCTAAACATTAAAATAATTATTTCATTTTCTGTTCCTCACCTGATGACCTTCAATGGTGTCTGTTTGTTGCAACCAGCAGGTACAAAAACTAACTTGTTTTTATTTGACTATTTTTCTGTCCTGCCTGTTTATTATCTTCCTGCATCTCCTCTCAATCCTAAAGAAAAACTGCTACCTGGGTTCATATATATTCACCTCATGAGTTACCTTTGAACTGCAGTTCTAAAAGATCTACCGACCGCAAAAACAGCGGAGTGCTCGCTGGCCACATCTGCTAGGTAAACTGGTGGTGAAGTCACCGGAGGACAAAACAGATGATACGCTCCACTCCACAGCAGCGAAACGCATCAGGCACAAATAAAAGACAGAAAACATAAAAGGAAATGAGCCGACATGAACGATCGCGTGTTAAAGTAGTTTTTGAGGTGGCGACACCTGATTTGATAATGTTACTGTGGCCGTGCTCAGGACGCAGATGTCTGGAGCACGTCAACAATCAGAGCTTTGCATGTGCTAGCTGGTTAGGATGGGGGTGAGGGGAAGGTTACATTGCAAGAGGTCAAAGGTCACAATTCGGTCAAATGTCCGTTTTACCGCGGGTGTCACAGCGCGTCACCTCCCGACGCGCAGGAGCTTGTCACCTGCTGTCTTTTCCGAGGACTGCATCTTGTCGCTCATTATCACGTGACAGCGACTAGTCGATAACACGCATAAAAAGTCACCACAGAGCGGTGAAGTCGACTAGTCGACTAGTTCATACAAGCCCTAGTAGCGACGATCTGAAATGGATCAATGCAAGAAAGATATTCATTTTAAACCCATCATTGATTAAAGCACAGACCATTTAAACATTTGATTTAAACATCTTGTTCATTCAACACTTTTGATTATTTCAACCTATAAGTTATAAAGTCACTTGGGAACTTTGAGGAAGGTGAACTTTATTCAGCGTGAGGATGCATGAGACCTTGACTAAGACCGCTCTTTGTTTTGGGCCAGACTGATGGTGTGTTTGTGTCTGCAAATGAAAGTTCATTTCTGATCATTTTGTTGGTGAAAATTTGACCACTGGTACGTTACAGTAGGTTGGTATCTGGCGGCGGGTCCTTCCCAGTTTGAATCTTGCTGCCGTTATCCTGGTCATTGTCCCGTTGCTCGGCCGTGGCATCCTGGTGCTTCGTCCATTTCACCTGCTTGTCCTTTTTCTCTTCGGGTTTGGATCTGCAAGCCTTAGCAATGTGTCCTTCTTTTGACATGCCTGGCTTTCCGTGTCTTTAAATCTGAATTCACCTGGACCATGTCCATGGCCAGCTCATCTGTAGCATGGGTTAAGATGCTCTTCTTTCTTATTTGCACTTGCCGTTGAGATGGCATTAGCTTTGAAGCTCTTCTGGGACCACTGCTGGGCATTTTGTTTTGTTACCTCGTGAGCTAGTCCCCTCTCATATGCTGCTGACAGTGTCAGGTCTTTGTGTGAGCTGCATTTAACAAGCGGTCGTGGAGCTCAGCACTTTTAACCCCGCAAACAAATCTATTTCTTAGAGCACCGTCCCAAATCTGCACGTGCTGCTAGCTTCCTTCAGTGATCCAGATCTACAGCTCCCAGACGGCTCGCCTTCCTGCCCTCAGAACAGGGTAAGGAAAATTAACAAACAGCATAAGAGCACCTATGAAACTCTCATAATGGGCGACTTTCACGTGAAACGTGTGAATTTAAATGGCTGATACTCTAAAACTTGCTGTTTTGCCAAGGACACAATTTCTGATCTTACAGACAGAATACCATCAATGCTTCCTAAACACCCAGCAGCCAACAACCTCATCATCCATATTGGCTCTAATGATATCAGGATGAGGGAATTAGAGGTCCTTAAGCAGGATTTTACTGCTCTTTTGGCATCACTCAGGTCCCTAAAAATAAACTTGATAATAAGCAGCCCTCTAGCACCTGTGAGAAGAGGACCGGAACATTTTTCACGGCTCTATCCATTCAACTCATGGCTCTCATCCACGTGGAACAAAGATTACGTCATTTTTGTCGACAATTTCAACTTCTTTTGGGATTGTAGACACCACTTCCTGCTGGAATTCGTTTGAACAAGGCCGGAGTTAGACTATTCACCTCAAATCTAGCACACATGTTGCATATTTCTTGTTCTTCCCCCACGTTTATCAAGACAGAACACGAGGATCAAGTTAAGGAGCCAGCACTATCTTGCAGTCCTCTAGAACCTCTACATGACACCCACCGAGACACAGACTACATAGATAACACCCAGAATGTTCCCATCCAACGAGATTGCTTGAGTTATCTGACATTAAACAAAATGTTCATGCTGAAACCATCGACATATATATCTGGCAAACAGAAAGCTCCATGGTTCTCTAGATCTGTTACCAAACACGAGAATGAGTGCCGATTCAGGAAAACTAACCTACCAGATCACTATCAGACCTTCAAAATGCAGCTGCATACTTAATTCAGTTCAATTCAATTCAAGTTTATATAGCGCCAAATCAGGACAAGAGTCGCCTCAAGGACCTTCACTCAGTAAACATTTCCATACAGGTCAGTTCATTAAGCCAATCAGTAAAAAGTTTCCTATATAAGGAACCCAGCATGTCGCATCGAGTCACTGACTAGTGTCAGTGTCTTTACAGCAATCCTCATACTAAGCAAGCATGCAGCGTGTCAGACTCAAAGACTGGGACCGGGATTAAGAGCTTTATTTAGACTGCTGGTTGAAAGCAGTGCTGGAAAGGCTGGAGGTTGGATGAGGTCTGAGGAGGAAAGGTGGAGGTTAAGCTGTATTAGCTTCTGAATACTCTGATCATGGATCACGGTGGAACGATGACTGAGTGAAGAGCCGGTGTGGCGTCTTCCATATATAGGCATGGATTGACGCAGGTGCAACGTGGAGGGAATCCCCGCGAGGGGCATGCTGGGTAATGTGGTTCAAGACGGAAGCCGGTCAGCTGGGAGAGCCCGGCCTGGGGGCTTGGACTCTGACAGGACCCCCCGGTCCAGGGACGGCTCCATAAGTCCCCGGGCCACCTCGGTGGGCCCAGAAGTCCGAGATGAGGGCAGGGTCCAAGATGGAGCGGGCCGGATCCCAGGAGCGTTCCTCGGGGCCGTAGTCTGCCCAATCTATGAGGTACTGCCAGCCCCGACCCCGGCGGCGAGCGTCCAGAATGCGCCGGACGGTGTAGATGGGCTCACCGTCGAGGAAGCGGGCCGGCGGAGGCGCTGGAGCCTGAGGCGGCAGGAGGGAGGATTCCACGTAAGGCTTGAGCCGGGAGGTGTGGAAGGTGGGATGGACGCAAAGGCTTGTAGGCAGCCGCAGCCGGTACGTG